TAAACGGTTCTTAATAAAGATAATAAATACTACATGATGGTAAACTGTATTTCCTTATTAAAAGTAATTAATTTTTATAGTAAAAACTATAAAGACAATATTAAAGGGAACAAAAGAAATGATTGTAACGGATATAGGATAGAGAAAATATATATTTTTTTATTGAAAACCTAGGGTTTGTTTGTTTTGTATTTTCGTTTTAAAAAAAAAAATTACATGAAGTATAATGAATTATATAAATAATAAATATATAATATATTAATTTATTTTAAAAAATGTGCTGAAAAATTTTTGAAATAGAAACAAACCCGTAATATCTACTAAAAAATCATTTAATGAAAGGTCCAAAAGTTGACGAGAACAGTGTCCCTATAGCGAATACGACACAAACCAAATTCCACCAACTTTTACATTAGAAAGGTTGGTAATCCGTACTAGCATGTTCAATGATAGGACATATATTGGTGTTTTTGTTTGAGGATTTGGATTTTGAATTGAAATTTGAATAGTAAAAAATTTGAATTGAAATAGTTGTATGATGTGATATAAATATAAATTGATGTGATGTTTTGAATGTAAAATTGATTTTTAGTATAATATAAAAAATTACAAATTAGTATTTGATTTGATATTTTGAAAAAAAAAAAATTGTATGAATAATAAAAATCCACCAAAATCCTTCAAACAAACACACCCTTATGGGTGAATTCCCGCTACTAACACTAAGTGAAGTTCCGTTCCCGCTACTAACACTAAGTAAAGTCAAAGTGTTTAATTTTGGCAGGAAGAGGTGAGAAAAAAAAAAAAAAAAACAAGTAGCCGAAATGAAATTGGCTCAAGAATTTTCTTTTGAGCTATTTGAGAATAGAACAAAAACTTTTTATCTTCGATTTTTCTTCACAAACACGGGGGATAAACGCCAACAAACGGGAGACGGCGGGACTCGGATGCGAGACTTAAGGCTCTGATACGCGAGACTTTCGTTTTTGTCTTAGATGAAGTAAATAGTTGTCTCGCCTAAAATTTTAAACTGTTAGGGATACCCATCATGTATTTATTTATCTACAAACGAGAGTCAACCAACATTTGTCATATGAGTAGTGAAGAGCTTTCCGCAGTTCCCTAATTCGGATAGCTAAACTATCGTTGAAATACTCGATGAAATAGAATGAAGCCGAAGTTGTTGTCCAACTCAAGAAATATATTAACCTTCAAAACTTAGTCAAAATTACGATAGAGGAGCGAAGAAGCAACGTGGAGTAAGTGTCGAGGAAGTTGAGAAATAAGTGGAACGAATGAAGAGGAAGTTAGACAAAATTAAGATATAAATAAAGGAAGAAAGAATCAGAACGACAAAAAAAAAAAAAAAAATCGTCCAACATCATTTATGCACTTCAAATTTTCATACTTTGTTTGTCTCAACTTAATATGCCCGTTTTTTTTTTTTTTTTCTTCTTTGTACTAGATTGAAAATAATATGGTGTTTTATTAATTAGTGAAAATATATAAAATAACTTTTAACAATTTTGTTTATGAAAGTACAAAAGAAATGAATATTTTTGTAAAAATTATATTTTGATATTTAGATATAATTACTTTTACTATAATTAAAAACAATTATTTAAGTGGGAAAACAAAAATGATAAAATAAGTACATTGAGTTAGGACGAATGAAACATTTTTCTTTATTTCTTTATCCAGCCCAATGTGCTTGTTTAGCCGTTCAGTCAAGATTTTTTTTATTTTTTAAACTTCATCAATATTTTTCGAATTTAGATTTATTGCGTTCTGACTATTAACCGCGAGATCAACTTGAATACTTTCTTAATGAGGCCGGAAACCCTTTTGTATCAATACCGACTGGTCCAAACTGAATAAGCCGTTGATGTTAATTTTCAATGTCAACAAAACCGTGACAATTGAATATTTGTAATTTTGGTTTCAAATAAAAATCAAACACAGTGTAGTGTGTTTTTATGTTTAGAAATTTTCAAACTTTTTGTTTTTGGTTATTAAAAAATATGAAAGCATTTTTAAAATATTATTTTTTATTTTAAATATTCAAAAAATAATATTTTTATTAAAAATGATAAATAATATTTTTGAAAGCAAATAAGCTCATTGTATTTTTATATTTATGTAAAATAGTTATGAAATATGTTAGAGAAAAATAAATATAGCTTTATTAGAATAGAAAATTTTGGAATGACAAAAATGATTTAATATAATATTTATAAATATGTATATATTTTTAATATATTATATTGTTTTTAAAAAAATATTTTTAGTAATAAATAATTAATTTTTTTAAAAAAATGTGTATACAAACATACTATGGTAACAAAATCAAAACATAGCTAAATTGTAGAATAAGTTTAGAATCATATAGAGAAAAATTGCCAATTATTATTTATTTATATTAAAGATTATGGACATATTTTAATTAGGGAAATAATACTCTATAGGTGGCTACGGTTTGAAATTAATTTATAATATAATTTTAAATATAAATTTTGGTTAAACAATATTTTGATATAAAAAAAAATTATATATTTTATTGAAAAATCATACAAATTAAATTATGTAATTTTTTATTTGAAATAAAAATATACACACTTGTATATGAATGATATTTGGTGGGTCCATTTATTATTATTATTTTTATTTGTCTACAAAACACAACATTACATTTATTTATAAAAGAAAAAAAATTAATTTTGGTCTCAATATAATTAAAATTAATTAATTTTGGTCCCAATATAAAAAATTCATCAATTTTTGTCCCAATATAATCAAAATTTATCAATTTTGATCCCAATATAAAAAACTCATTAATTTTGGTCCCAATATAAACAATTTCAATCAATTTTGGTCCCATTATAAACAATTTTTATCAATTTTGTTCCTACCGTTAAAAAACTAACGGAAATTGCTGATATGGACATGACGGAGGTGACGTGGCAGTTGACCTGGAAAGTACACGGCCATGTACAATTATACACGGCCATGTATATTTTAGTGTATAATTATACATGACCATGTTGTTACACGGCCATGTACAATTATACACGGCCATGTATATTTCAGTGTATAATTATACATGACCATGTTGTTACACGGCCATGTACAATTATACACGGCCATGTTGTTACATGACCATGTATATTTCAATGTATAATTATACATGACCATATTGTTACACGGCCATGTATAATTCTACACGGCCGTGTATCTTTCTGTTTCGGTCTAAAATTTTAATTTTTTGTTATATTTTTAATTTTTTTTAAATTTAGAATAGTTGATATAGTTAAAATGGAAAAAATAATAATAATAATCATAATATAATTAAAATATATCAATTTTAGTTCAAATATAAGTATTTATCGAGTATGTTCTTTTAGAAGATTTTGCCTAAAATTCTACTATTTAGCAAAAAAATTTCTCTTACAAACATCCAATTAATGTATTAAATATTTGCTAAATAGTAGAATTTTAGACAAAATCTTTCAAAAGAACATACTCGATAAATACTTATATTTGAACTAAAATTGATATATTTTAATTATATTATGATTATTATTATTATTATTTTCCATTTTAACTACATCAACTATTCTAAATTTAAAAAAAAAATTAAAAATATAATATTTTTGCTAAATAGTATAATTTTAGATAAAATCTTCCAAAAGAACATACTCGATAAATACTTATATTTGAACTAAAATTGATATATTTTAATTATATTATGATTATTATTATTATTATTTTCCATTTTAACTATATCAACTATTCTAAATTAAAAAAAAAAAAAAAAATTAAAAATATAACAAAAAATTAAAATTTTAAACCGAAACAGAAAGATACATGACCGTGTAACAACATGGCCATGTATAATTATACACTGAAATATACGTGACCGTGTGTAATTGTACATGACCGTGTAACAACATGACCATGTATAATTATACACTGAAATATACATGGCCATGTAACAACATGGCCGTGTATAATTGTACATGGCCGTGTACTTTCCAGGTCAACTGCCATGTCACCTCCGTAATGTCCACGTCAGCAATTTCCGTTATTTTTTAACGGTAGGACCAAAATTGATAAAAATTGTTTATAATGAGACCAAAATTGATTGAAATTGTTTATATTGGGACCAAAATTGATGAGTTTTTTATATTGGAACCAAAATTGATAAATTTTTTATATTTGGACCAAAATTGATTAATTTTGATTATATTGGAACCAAAATTGATTTTTTTCTTTTATAAAAATATCATAACTCTCTATACATTTAATTTATAAAAATAATTATCATATCTTATTAAGTTATTTATATACTTTTCAAAACAATAATTTTACGTTACAATCAACTATTATAATAATATAGTTGTTACAAATTTATACTAATGTATAGAATTTACGGACATAATGAGTACTCCCCTTCATCCCATGTAATATGAGTGTATTATTGTAGACACGATAATTTAGATAAAATATAATTAGTAACTCGTTAAGAAATGTATTAGTAAAAATAATTATAGATTAAGATTAAGATAAGTAAATAGTTTAATTAAAATTAAGAAAATTATAAAATTTAAAATTTAAAATGCTATTAAAATGCATAATTATATTTAAAAAAATAGAAATGATAACTTATGTGGGACTAGCGAAAATAGAAAATAGGGACAAATTATGTGGGACGAGCGAAAATAGAAATAAGGATGTTTAAAAAAAATTATTATATAATATTATTATAAAAATAGATTTATAAGAGATAAAGAAATTTTGGACAAACAAAAATAAAATAAAATGAACAAATTTCAATTAAAGAGAGTAAGTAGTGTTTTATAAAAAATTTCATTGAAGTACATAAAACTTCAATGATAAAATTGCACTGTAATTCTTACAAAATCTGGACCGTCCAATTTGAACCAAATCTAACGGCGGAGAATCCGTTCAAATCCACAGTGATATAGGTACGTAGGGAAGGTGCATTCCATTCAGCGCACCAACCACTCCCACCATTCACATTCACACTTCACCATATTCATTTTCATCTTCATCTACATTTCCACCAAACTTTTCTTCAATTTCACTCCACTCCCGCATTGCTTCTGCCTCTGGATGCACATACATTTGCCGTCGCCTGCAATTTTTTATCCGCAGTATGGAATTTGTAAGCATCCGACGACTCAGTGTATTTTTTAAATGCTTTTGGTTAATTTATTTGGGGCTACAAGTATGTGGATTCCGTTTCTGGATATTCTCTGTGTTAATTTGTGGATTTGACTGTTCTCGCTGTTGGGGAAATGGATGAATTGGTTTGCGTTGAATTTTTGAGTCTATGAATTTGTTTTTTGTGATGTTTCTGTCTGCTGGAAGCGCTGTTCCATTGGACGGGTTTACGTCTTAATCGCTAGGGTTTTTGTTGTTGTGAATCTATTTATATATGTTTGTAACAGATCAGTAGCGATAATCGAACTATTTTTTTTCTGTTGATTGATTCTTAATTGGTAATCGAGGATAATTAGTTTTTTGGGGGATATATATATATTTTTTAATTTTTTGGATTGCAGGCAGTGGAATCTGGTGCGAGAAGCATGGAGAAGGGGATTGAGGTAAGGAAGAATCAGACTTTGATATGTACGCCATTGATGGCTGATACAGCGGATCAGTTGGTCGAGTTGATGTACAAGGCTAAGGCTAAGGGGGCTGATATTGTGGAGATTAGGTTGGATCATTTGAAGAGCTTTAATCCTCGTTTCGATGTGCCGAAGTTGATGAAAGAGTGCCCTTTGCCCACTCTGTTTACTTACAGGTTTGATATGTTTGCAATTGTGGTGTCGATTGCGGTCTTACCGGATAAATTATTTTTGCATCTATTTTGCTCTAGAAAGGATTTCTTGGTTAATTCATTTGCTTTCATAGCTAGTTAGGCCATCGGTGAGTGAATGATTGAAAAGGAAATGTTGGAAATATATTGAAGTTAGGTTTTTGTTGGAATGCTGATCAATATTAGATGGGACTTTCGATTAGGGCTGGAGTGAATCTACCCGAAGCTATGGAGCTCTGCGAGTCGATATAACTTTTTCTACTTCAATTTTTCTTATGTACATGGAAAGTCTTAACTATATATGCAAAATGCTTGATAATAAAGTGGGAGATTTGATTGTTAAGGGATTTGCTGTGGTTATTATTAAAAACTAAATAAAATGTTGGCCAAAATACAAAAAAGTTATAATAATAAAAAATAAAAACATGGTGGTTTCTTTTGAACTTAACCTTTAATTAAAGTTTTGCCTTTTGGACATATCGAGAATATAATTATTTGATATACTTGATTATTGGTTTCTATACATCAAGCATAAATTACGATATAAAGAATTTGGACCTTTATTATGTGAACATTTTTTTGAAGTTAGTGAGTAAACATAAGATGAAAACCATGAATGACATGATTATATATATGTACATATAGATATAGAGATATATTTGATTTGGTTTCCTTTATTTGTCACTTTATTTCAAGTTAGGTGCTCTGTCATGTTTGTGTCCTCAGAAAGCAAAACCTGCCATGATTAATTGAGAGCAAAGTATTGATTATTTTTTTTGGTTTTTTTTTTTTTCAAACCTTTGGTGAAACAACCTTTGTGTTCACATTTCAAAATTTTGTAGTTGGACCCGATTCTTGCAGCATTTGGACTTTAATGCATTCCTTAATTTAACAACCTGATCTTTCACATCTTTTCTAATAGACCTGTATGGGAAGGTGGTCGATATGATGGTGATGAAATAAGTCGTTTTGAAGTGCTTCGACTTGCAATGGAGTTAGGAGCTGATCATATTGACATTGAACTCAAGGTACAATTTCTTCCAAAAATTTAATGTTTGAAGGATTTCTATTATTCATACAAAAAAAATTTCCCCAAAATATTAAATCAAACACCTTAGTTTTTATTTTTTTATATTATATTAAAAATCAACTTTGTATTTGTACCATCACATCATTACTTATTTTTATCTGATCATACAACTATTTCAATTCAAATTTTTTACTATTCAAATTTCAATCTTATCCAAACCTCCAAACAAACACACCCTAGTTTCAAAATTTTCTCGTTGATTTTGATTTGAAGAGTTTTGGGAAAATCTATCAAACCATTGAAGTCCAACCTTTGTGTTGCAGTTGATAACTGAACTCTATATGGATACTGTCTCCAAAGAAAATGAATTATATGGTCTCATCATTACCAAAGGATATAAAATTCATTGGTTTGAAATACAAGCTTGTTTGTTCAAGTAATCTGTCTCTTTTTACCTCGGATTTCTTGTCATTACACGATGTTTTCTATCTTATGTCTTTTATTGACTGCTTCATTGAAGGCTGCTCATGAGTTCAACAAGTTTATGAATGGATACAAGTCTGAAAGGTGCAAACTTATAGTTTCTTCACACAATTATGAGTGCACCCCATCAGTTGAGGAGCTAGGAGACCTTGTTGCAAGAATACAAGCAGCTGGAGCTGACATTGTTAAATTTGCCACGACAGCATTAGATATCACCGATGCAGCTCGTGTGTTTCAAATAACAATTCATTGCCAAGTAAGTCACTAAGCCTTAACAAATATTTCTTGTCACGTTGTTTTCCTGAAATACGCTTCAGTATTGTTGTGTGGATAGGTTTTTTTCCTTGTTCCATTATAACACAGGTTTGGGTTAAGATTCAACAAAGCTATAATTGTCAATTTAGCTGTTATGGTGTTACTACAGAGAGTGAAATAAATATATTGATTCTACCGGCCTCTCTCTCCCTTGGAAACACCTCAATGAGCATAGGTGGTGACACGCCATCTACTTTTCACCATATAATTCTTTATATTTCTTCTTTCTTGACATGTATCAGGGGGATTCATTCTCTGAAAATGATTGAACATGCTTGTGTCAAAATGCTTTGAGTATTCCATTTTAGTTTTTCAGTATATTAATTGTAGATAAGCTCCAGGTACCAATTATTGCTATGGTTATGGGAGAGAGAGGCTTGATTGCTCGAGTACTATGTCCTAAATTCGGTGGATACCTAACGTTTGGCACTCTTGAAGCTGGAAAGGTGTCTGCCCCCGGGCAGCCTACGATCGAACAGCTAGTTGACTTGTACAATTTTAGGTTGATTGATCATGATACAAAGGTATTTGGGATAATTGGGAAGCCCGTAGGTCACAGCAAATCACCCAAGTTATATAATCGAGCCTTCAAAGCTGTTGGCTTTAACGGGGTGTATGTACATCTGTTTGTGGATGACGTTCCAAAATTCTTAAAGACCTATTCTTCGCCAGATTTTTGTGGTTTCAGGTAAAGTATCTCACTCCCTTGTTATTTGTTTGATTGTGAAGCTTCACCTCAATAATAAGAAAATTAATCCTTCCCACGTGTAGCACAGTTTTTGTACCTTAAATCCTTTATATTTTGTAAATCACCAAAAGAAACCTAAAAAAGTCACCGAAAAACTATACCGATGCTAATACTTGATGAGGATTCAACCATTGCAGCTGCACCATTCCACACAAAGAAGCCGCGCTCAAATGTTGTGATGAAGTTGATCCAGTCGCAAAGGTAACAGGAAAATTTATACAACTCTTAGCGTGTATGCTGCTGTATCTAATTTCATTTCCTTAATACTAGCAGAATATAGGGGCTGTTAATAATATCATCAGGAAGCCCAACGGGAAGCTATTTGGCTGCAACACCGACTATGTTGGTGCAATTTCTTCTATTGAGGATGCTCTAAGAGGTTGTTCACTTTTTTCCTGTTGACGAGCTCCCTGTACTAATTATGAGCCTAGTTGCTTTTTATGAGTCTACTAATTTAATCTTAAGATACAGCGTATCCTGTAAAAAATAACATGCGACATCTACGTCGTAAAACACAGGTTAATTGATTTCTTTGGTCTATCCTACCTACATTCAGAACCAAAGGGGATAAAATTACTAGACTTGATTTACTTGTGGAATTACTATGGAAGGGAATATTTTTACATTGTGGGAATAACTGGACCATGGAGCATACAGTGCTTGGATATTCACTACCCGACCCTTTGCAGGTTCACACAATGGAGGCAATGGATTTTCTTCACCCTTGGCCGGTAAATTGTTTGTCGTCATTGGTGCTGGTGGTGCAGGCCGAGCAATTGCGTATGGTGCCAAAGAAAAAGGAGCAAGGGTTGTGATTGCTAATCGCACTTATGGTTAGACATCCTCCTATGCTTCCTACTGCATTCGTCTTTTTCTTGTTTGTTAGTCTAGTTTGAGCATTTTGTCAGTTCGTAGTAACAAGTCATTGGCCCATGGGTGGCACTTGGTGAGATGCATGCCGGCGCAATTATTTACTTGAATACCAATTGGGAGTGCTTTCAAAAAATGTATATTTGGCGATGTTCAGTTCTTGTGATTAGGTTGGATGAATTATTCCAGAAATTGCATATTCGGTGGAAAAGGCCGAAAGATTGTTACTATTTACCGTTAATAGTTTTCTTGAAATGCAGAATATAAACACAATGCTATAGTTGTATCCTCAGCAAGTGTGGCAATAACAGAACATAATCATAATACTTATTTTGTTATTTTTTATTTTTCTTGCAAGATCGAGCTAGAGAACTAGCTGAGATTGTTGGAGCACAGGCGTTGACTCTTTCTGACCTGCATAATTTTCATCCGGAAACCGGGATGATACTCGCAAACACGACTTCCATAGGAATGCAACCGAAGGTTGACGAGACTCCTATTTCCAAGGTTAGAATTTCTTTTAAATTAGAACTGTCATCTAAGGATTTCGATAAATTACGAGATGTCCTGTTGGATTCAATTTATCTGCAATAACTTCACCTATCTTCCGGGGATTGCTTTTTTGGTTTCGAATTCGCCCTTCGGCATTGCTCCGATGCATCCATTCGTTAACATATTGCAATACCGTCAAACTGTGTGGTTTTTCAGGAAACCTTGAGATACTACCAGCTCGTGTTCGACGCTGTTTACACACCCAAAATCACGAGGCTTCTGCAGGAAGCTGCAGAAATGGGAGCGAAAATTGTGACGGGAGTCGAAATGTTGATCGGGCAGGCTTACACTCAATACGAAAACTTCACCGGATTGCCAGGTGACAACAAAACCATGTCCTCACTCCCTATCCCCCTCCATATCTTTCTTTCAAGTTTTGGATATCTAATCTAACCGGAATAATTAGGATGCTCATTACGGCTAATTAGTAACACATGAAATATAACATGTGTTGTATGTTCTATTTTATTTTATAAATGTGTTGTGTTAATATACCTTATATGTGTTGATCGATTATAGTAATCCCTCCGTCTCAAAACTATAGTCTAATTTGGGTTGGACACGAGATTTAAGGAATATTGATATTATAAGCTGGTAAAAAGTATGGATAAAAAGACTTTTTTGTCCTTGTAATGTACTAGTGGAAAAAAGTAGTGACAATTATGTAGTAATAAAAATGAAAAAGTAATGCAGTTTTATGCTATTTATGGAAATGAGACTATTGTTTTGTGACATACAAAAATGGTAAATAAGACTTATGTGTTGGGACGGAGGGAGTATACGATTTGAGAAAGAAAGATTATTAATAGATAGAAAAGAAAGTTCGGACACTGAGTAGTTTTGCCCGATCAAAATTCTCACCTTAGGTGTTTGGATGTAGTTTGAAATTGATTTGACAAGGGAATTTGTTTGAGTTTTAGTTTAAATAGTATTTTGAAATGATGATAATTTATGAGAAGAAATAATGTATTTTTATTGGGAACCTGTGGGTTGGATAACCGTATTTTTTAATTTGAAATAGTAATTGTATTATAGTGATATATGCTTTTTATATCTAATGTGCTGTCAGGCTGAGTAAATACCTTCATCTAACTATTTGATTCGATTTCGTGCAGCTCCAAAACAACTTTTCAAGGAAACCATGGAAGATTAGTAACATTTCTTGGGAGGGAAAGATCCAAAGGCAAATCTTCATATCTAAGGCTGAAGGCCTATTGTTTTGTTGTAATGTAATCTATCATTTGATTTATTTTATAAGTTGTTGTTAGACGTACGGAAATTTTATTTTTATATTTTTTTTGACATTATTTTCAGCAAAATGTGTAGTTTTAACACATCCATTCTGCTCCTTTTCTGTGCCTAAGTAAAGGCCTATTGATTGATTTCAGTTTGGACTTTGGGGCTATACTAGATTTAGAATTAATTTGTTACTTTTATTATATTGTATAATTAATTGATCATAAATTTAAATTTTGAATTTTAATTGAACATATGTGGCATCGCAATAAAATATATGAATTTGGTGCGAAGTGAATCTTGTAATTTTGTTAAAATTTTGGATTTTGTTTACATAAGAATTATCACTTGCTATGTATATATATATTCTCTCATAAAATATAATTAAATAAAATATTTATTTTTTATTTTATTTCTTTACTGAAAAAAGTAGTACATATATAACTTTATATTTTTTAAATTTAAATAATTATTAAAATAATTATCTTATAACTTTATGTTTTTAGATTTATAATAACTATCTTAATTTATAATTTTACTTGTAGATGATTTATCACCACCATTGTATTATTATTACATAAAAACACGGCCCACACAGTACCAGGTTGAATAACAAGAGCATGAAAGAGTATGTAATTGTAAATTATATGATTTTCATAATACCAAAAATTTTGATATACCGATCCATCTGTACCATATGGTCCATATTTTTTGTATGCTTTTACAATTACAAAAACACATAATTATTCAAATTAACAAACATCGCGCTACACATAAAACACTAATATACCAAAAACTAGGTTCATGAGGTAAAAAGAAAATGCAATTTCAGGCAAGCTCAAACATGTGCGTTCTCTATTTCTCAGTAACTTTCATCACAGTAGGACTTCGTTCCAGCCGCAGATTTTTGAAGTAACACGGTGCCAAAAAGACAATCATGCAAGGCCCCATTTAGATTTTTTTTTTTAAAATAAAAGGCACAAAATGTAACATTGTTAAATGTACAACACCAATAACTGACCTACAAGCTTTGTTGATTAGAATAGCTCCCGGCGGCTGTTCCACCAGTATTAGCATTGAACATTTGCATGGTGGCAGGAGGGGCGCCGCCAGCGCTAGGAGACGGACCCACTCCAGAAACCGGAGAGGGGGCACTTGCATTAGCCGGAGCTGGTGCGCCACCGGGTGGTCCAGGCAACGAAGAACCAGGTGGGGGCTGCATTGGAGCCATTTGATTGGTCGGATAACCTGATAGAATCGACAAGAAAAAAATAAATAATATAAATAAATAATAAAATCAGCAAAATCGAAACCAATTCCAGTAACTCGAAAACTAATTCTGATCTCTTTGCCCGTGTGAAGATATTGATTTTTAGATATTAAGAGTGTGTCCCCTAAACCAAAAAACTATTCACTTATATGTGTGGTTTACGATAAAATGAAGTACCAAAATGCCAGTTGCATCATTGATGTTTGGTCATAATAAAAAGAGAATAGAATTAGCTAAATGAAGATATTAAATTTTAGAAATAAGTAGGATGTATTGTTTTTGGTTTACCAGGAGCGCCGGGTACAGGTAATGGTAGAACAGGAGGCCTGACACCCAGGTTTAATTGTGGGGGTACTGCTCCAGAGTAAGGTAAGACCGGAGGTGGAATTATGGGAAGGTGCGGTCTTCCACCGGGAAAAGCAGCAAGATGTTGATTATAAACTGCACCTATCTGTTGGTAGGCTGATGCCTGGCCAAGATGCTCCTTGATCTTCTGATCAATCAATATTTGAGTTTGCTGTTCTTCAAACTTTTGGTAATATGCCCTTATGTTTGCCTGAGCACAATTATTTAATCTCCATCAAAAAAAATTGTGGAAAGAAAGAAATTTTACAGTTCTATGAAACATCAGGCTCAGTTGAGATCGATACCTTATGTTTGTAACCAGCATTATGCTGTTTTCTTACAGATGGCTGAAAAAATAATGACAAATGTTAAAATAAAATTCATTGCTGTAATTTCAGTAAAATACATTTTTCTTCATGGCCTTGAAGCTATAGTGGATAGGATCCAGCTGATAAGCAAGTTCAACCATGATCGGTAATAATTTGTTCAGACTTAAGGAATAGAACGGGAAAAGGAAAGGACAAAAATCTTTGGGCATTTTATAATGGGAATAAAATGGAATAAGAACATTCTTCTCCCTCTTGAGTAAACATTTCATATCATCTTCCTAATTTTTTTTATGTTCTGTATAAACTCCGAATCTCTCCATGAAGCATTAGAATTGGGAAGCTATATCACATTGCATCAGCAGGACTTTACAAATTCAATATCAGCACAAACAACTTGATGTGTAATTTTCAGATTATTGAACTATAATAGAAATCTTTGTGAGCTATCCTCGGCAAGTCAGGTGAACATGAACAAATTGTGCTCGTAACTTAGGCCTAATGATGTATTGACAAACATATTTGGAAAATAACATTCTCTGGAAGACTAAAATTGATATGTGGTTATGTAATATATTAAAACAAAGTAATAAGTTTTCCAGCCGCCACATGCACATGATTGAAGCACAAATAGTACCAAAGCATGTAAGGGTTCTTGTCAGGCATCGTGAAGCCTATCTTTCACACTGTGATGGATTAAACCAGACGCACAAATTAGACTAGGTTTGGGAATGCCTCTCTTCCAGAACATGACTATAAAAATAAGAGTTAATTGACCCAATAGCAGTGTAAGTTTATATATATATATATATATACACCAAATTTTCTTAGATTTCCACTATTCACCAAATTTTCCCAGAATATGGGGTATGTCTTTTGGAGGATTTTCCCATATTTCCACTATTTACCAAATTCCCCCTCCCCACCCAACATCAAACCAAATACTTATTTTTCATATTCTATATTATACTAAAAATTAATTTTACATTCAAAATATCACATCAATATCTATTTATATCAAATCATACCACACTATTCCAATTCAAAATTTTTACATTCAAATTCTAACTCAAAATCCAAACCCACCTTATATAATTTATTCATGAAACCAATGTCTCAAAAAAGCCACAAAATTATTTAAAAATTGTATGGCATTCGCTGCCATTAGCGAACTTCATATTTTGAATAAATCAAATCAAGGACACAGATATCTGATTGCAACTTATCAGCTATTAACACATAGAACGCTATGCTAAACGGCACAAGAAAATTTAGCAACATTCCTAGAACACCTAAAAGTAACTTTCCCTAAACTCAAATCTTCAAAAATACTACATTCTCAATGTAGAGCTTACACAAGCAATCACCAGATCAAAATTACATTTACACTTCTTGCCGATCAAAAAAAGATTACATTTACACTTCCATAAATAATTCAAACAAAGGAGAGCACCGCAGGTAAACTATTCACCAAAAAAAAAATCCTTAATAAAATAAAAGCAACAAACATCTAATCTAAGTACGAATCTGTACAATATCAAAAGGCAGACTCTCAATTAAAAACACCAAACTTACAGAATCATGCGTCAAATATGTGTCGCAATAATCACAATAATACCTGCCATTAAGCAAACACAAACAAGTCAACCATCGAGTCTCTATTCGTCCAAAATCCAATATCCACAAATAAAAGTAGACGAATCTTACCGCGGCATTATCGCAAAAATCGTCACCAAATCCTGAACTTTCCACAAATATGAAGAATCGGAAAGTGTAACAATTAGCAACTTACAGCTCAATTATCGAGCAAACAGCAAATTCTACGGCGACTGGACAGGGTTTTGCGGAATCCGCCGTAGGGTTTATCGCTCCGTCGTAGAGACCGAGGCGGTTGAAAAATCGCACCACAAAAAGCCGCCCTATTTATAGCTTGGGCCCGACCAACAACTTTACCGTAAATTATGGGCCTATGAAACGGTTATTGGGCCAAAAGAATAGGTCGGAATTTTAAATTAAAGCCCAATACAAATTTCTTCTCTAAAAATAGAATTTTAAATATTCAAAAAGATTAATGTGAAGACTTGGCCACTTGGGTGTATATTATTCCACCAATTTCAAAAAAATCATTTAAAAAAAAAATTAATATATTATACAACTTTATTATTTTTATATTACTTATACAATTCTTTATATTTTTTATATAAAATATATCTTCAAATAATTTCACTAAACAAACATACCTGGGTGTTTTCGTAACAAGAGAATTGAAGAAAAAAAATAATATAAAATATTGAATCATTTCTTCAAATAAGTAACTTTTTTATGAACATTTCGAATGACACGAAAAAAAATACACTAGAGTTCAGAAATATTTACCCATATGCAAGTATTCAAATGAACTCCGGTGTATCAAATGAATTGATCAAAAACTTCTATTTATAGGAGAGGATAGTCTTGGCTTCCTTTTTGGATGGTCCCACGTAGCGTATTTCGATTAGCCTATGAAAAAAATTTGTAATATTTTCTTTCTTGTCAAATGTTTTTTGTTTTCATTTTTGAAAATTTTGATTGCACACATTATTTTTGGGTCAAAATATTTAAACATTTCTTTAGTCGGAAGATATTAATCATAATACTCTATTTATTGGCAAGATTTATTTAATTTATTATAGCTCCATATATGCACATACTATTTGTATAATATATTTCATATTAAACAAATTTCTCATTAATTGTTGATATTTATTATACTTCCTCCGTCCCATTGGAAGAGTAGCATTTACTTTTTTCACGTAATTTTTTTAATATTAATATTATATTAAATTATAAAAAAGACAAAAATACCCTATTAGTATAGTGTAATAAAAAGTAATAGCATTTGTGTAATATATTGTAAGTTGAAAGGGTATTTATTATGTTAATAAATTGTGCAATTATTAAATTAGGAAATGATAACCTTGTTTTTGAATGGAAATAGAAAATGGTAACCTTTCAATAGGACGGGGAGTATTAAAATTAACATATACACATAATTATGCTATATATTTACTTTATTGATATTTTTTTCTCCTAAAAATATATTATATTTAATTGAATTTAGACATTTATTTTCTAATGTCTATAAAATATTCCATCTAGACTCGTTAAGCCGATAAAAAACTATTTTAAGGCGTGAATAAATTTCACAATATTCTTTTTTTCTTTTTTAAATATCATTTTTTTTTTTTTTTTACATATCTTTTTTGCCATTTTTTTACAACTATTTTTGCAAATTTATTTTTGTATGTATCCCGTTTTTTCTTTTTGCCATATATATATATATATTGTATGTATGCCGTTTTTTTATTCCATTTACTATTTTTTTTTTTCATTTTTTATGGCAATTTTTTTTGCCATAATTTTTGTAATTTCTTTCGTTTGTCATGCATATATATATTTACATTTTTTTTCATATGGTTCAATATTTTTGGACACTATAAATTCCTCACCATGAAAAATTTATTATCATTCTCAAAATTTAATAATTTAATCTCTCAATCTAGGGTAGATTTCTTTCTCTTGTGTATTTTTTATTATTCTTCTATTTTGATTCTTGTTTTTGGTTTTATTTTTTTTAGTTAAGATGACTTATCTCAAGAATGTCTCATCCCCTCCGGTAATGCCGACGAGTTGGCGATTTTTGAGTTTGAAAGCCAACCATTAAACAAAGCGATTTGTCTATTGGTCCACCCACCGTTCGTAGGACCCGCAGTCGCTCACCCTCGCTTGGAGGTTCCGAATTTTCTAAAAACGTGATCTCGGGATGCTGCGGTGGAAAGCAACTGTTGTGGAGTGAGGATTACAAGATATGATTTCCGCCGCGACACCCCGAGATCACATCTTCGAAAAATTTGGAACCTCCAAGCGAAGGCGAGCGGCTGCACGTCCTACGGACGGTAGGGGCACCAATAAACGGATCGCTTTGTCCAATGGTCGGCCTTCTCAAAAATCATCAACTTGCCATTACCGGAGGGGAGGAGACATCTTTTAAATAAGTCATCTTATAAAAAATAAAAAATAAAAGAGAGAGAGGGAGAGAGAGAGGACAAATAAAATTAAAAAAAAAAAATAGACACACACAAATATTAAAAAAACAGAAAGAAATCTATACTAAAATGAGATAAACCAAAATTTTAAGAATGACAAAATTATCTGGCAATGAGAAATTTATATAGTGTCCAAAAAACTTGAGCTATATGAAAAGATAGAGTAGTATCATATATGTGCAAAGAAAAGAAGAAAGAAAACAAGGAAAGAAAAAAAATAAAAATAAAAAGGAAAAGAAAGAAAAATAATATACATGTGAATATATATATATATAACATGTGTATATATAAAGAGAGAAAACCAATAATGAGTCAATTCCCCCGAAATAATTTTTGATGTATGTGTAAAAATTATAAAATTTAGTATTATATAATGAGTATTTTTAAAAAAATGACTTTTTGATTTTTTTATAAACTATTTTGTATTTATTATTATTATTTTTAGAAAATTGCAATTTAAAAATAATGCTGAAAGTATAAAGCTAATAATTCAAAACACATGCAACTTTTGAAAATTTACCATCATTAGACAACAATATAAGTCCATTCACTGTGTTTTTCAATAAATATTTTTTTTATATTAAATATAAAAAATCATGTCGATAATAGTAAAAAAAAAAATTAAAATTAATACTCTGTTGAATTAATAGTTTATATGAGTAACAAAATACATATTATATTAATATATTATATACATATTTTAAGTAATATTCTTAAGAAATTGTCACCCAAAAATAAGTGACTGAACAATTTTTTTAAAACAAAAAGACACACGACGTTAGATGACATCTTTAGTTCATCTTACAGAACACCACAATATTTTGTAAACAAAGACCATATCAATACTTCTTTATATTATATTAAATAATTATTTTTTATTTTTTATATTAGGCTAAAAATCAATTTTGCATAAGTACTTATATATATATATATATTACATAACTAGTCAAATTAAAAATTTTACTATTCATAAATCCACAAAAACTCAACTCTATTTTCATTCAAATTTTCACTATCAAGACAACACATTTCTAAAAAATAAATATAATTTTTTTTATCACAAAATATCATTTTAAATATATATATATATAAAATATCCAAACTCAACCTGGACTAAAAAGAAAAACTATAGCATCCAAAACTCTTAACTAAACAAAGCCCAAACAAATCAAATAACACAACCCATACATTTTGGCTGTCATTTTCAATTTCTTTACAAGATATTCTCAACATTCTCAATAAAAACATCATATTTTCATTAAAATATATATATATAGATCTAACAACTATTTCACCTAAAAAAAATAACAAAAAATCAAAACACAACAGAACAGACATATAGATAGATCCAACAATATTGCACAATGTTATACATCTAAAGCCTACTCAAAGCATTGCACAAAACATATCGGTGGTCGACTACGCCTACTATTGAATAAAACTGTGAATTTCAATAAAAACATTCATACCATATTCAATCACTAACAAAACCAATCTATTCAAAAACATAACTTGCAAACACAAAGTGTCTCAAGAAATAGTAACTACGTTCATCCAAACATACTTAAAACTGTCGAAATAGCATCTCAGTCGTACCTCAAAGTTTTTGACATATTTTCCATTCACTTGGGCATCACCGCAAACTGATGCAGAACAGGAAGGACGACGCCACCAAATCGTCAAGGACTGCAAATCATAAAACAAAATGTTACAGTATCTGCTAGGTAACAGGCGACCTTGAACGCGTACACCAATGTCAGAAAAAGCACTAACTGATGCAAAATACTGACCTGTATGATCTAGAACGGGACCTTGCAGGACTTCGAGAAACCTTTCTTGGACTCTCCGACTTTCTTGGAAGTGGACGAGTCTGACCATTTTCCCCAGGACTTGGGGTGAGATTGGCGGGCTTATCCACATTCTTATCATCAGGAGATCTCGAGCGAGAAAGTGATTTAGAATGCCTTGGCAATCTTCCACGAGGCTTATGAGTCCTGTCATCTCTAGGAGAAACTGATCTGGAGATGGATCTTGATCGTCGCGGAGACGGGTTATAGTCTCTGGCTCCATGACCTCTGTCTCTGTTGAACAGAAATAAGAATAAGCAAACGTCTAGGGTGTTACAATAATTTTTGCACCCAAGCAAAGGTAGTGAAAGCCAGACGATTAGGACAGCAAACAGACACAACCAATGATTCTGATATGGAAGAATGTCCAAATCCGCAAACACTTAGAGAAATACATTTAAGGTTTCAGCATAAAATAATCTCCCTGGGATTATCTAATGACTGAAACATGACTATTACCTGCATCCTTTCCAGAAATTCGGGACAAAAACTATTAACTTTGGTCCACAAACTGTTAAACGCTTTATTCGGGTTCATCAGCATCTGAAAACTTCCAAGCTGCCTTGCCCCAACAATTAGAAACCTCATACTATCTTTTTCGTAGGCATTTTCAACACTTCAATCATAATAACTTTGATACGCCTTTGAAGATGGTTTCTTTCTTTGGCCAACTATAGCTTTAATCATTCTTTGACTGGATAGTATGCAACATTAAAAAATCAAACTAACAAACTAAATGAAGAATAAAAGTTTCCTAATGATTTCACACATCATACCAAGTTGGCCATCCAATACAACAAAAAGCTTTAACAGGCTGTCGAAGGCAAAAATAAACAATTCGCCTTGGGTTTTATTGGAACTAGAAATTACTGGAGAAAGTTTGTAAGAAAAAATGTAAAGCAAGTTCGCTGATGTTAGTTCCCTTTTCACATTCCTCTTTATTAGGCCTTAAATTATTTATAATCTTTGTGAGTTCAAATCTGCAAAATAAGGGCAGATTGTCACTTGACTCTACGGCAAACATGCAATACATGTTTAAGAAAGACTAACTACAGTTGCACGAAATCATATCAAAAATAAAGTATCGTCCAGAAAATTGAAGAACTCAAGCATTCGGGTAGAATTTGCTTATAGACATCTCATATGCAAACCAAAGGCAAAACTGTCTGTTTGTTTGTTGACTTGTTAATCTAATGCTTTCCCTGATGCATTAAAACAGCTTTGAACATCATAGTTGAGTGATTATTCAACTAATAAATGTATACCATCAGGAAAACAAAACAAATGTTTATTCTAAAATGGACATAATTTGAGATCTAGGTGCCTAAATCTTATTAGAAGGGCATTTTCGGAACCTCAGATATCACAACTGCATAAATATTCCAGTAGTCAGCATTATCGTCATCCACATGCATCATGCAAAAAATGATCAAAAATAACCAAACACTTGACAGATTGACACCAATGGAAAATCATCATGCTCCGTGACAGGAGAGAGATCTCATGAGTTGCAAATTATATAAATGTAACATAACTTCTCAACATTGTACCGGAAAACAAGTCTATTTTCTGCAATAATTGAAAAACAGACCTTGAGTAGCGCCTTGATGGAGAAGGAGAGCGTGATTCAGCTGCCAGGCAAGAAATCACAACCTTTCAGAAGGATTTTAAGGGCTTATATACATGATAAGTTTAAAATGTTCAAATGTGTTATATCAGCCAGCACTCATTTGCATCCCTTCTAGTGGATAGCCAGTGTAGAATGGTGCTTAAGATTTTATTGTACAACAATGGGGTCATTTCAGGACCAAATATGATTGTTACTCAAAAGAACAGCATTCTTTGATGTAATAACATTAAAAAAGAAGATATTAGAAATGCACACTTACAGTTATGGCGACGCCTAGGGGAAAATGATGGACTGTGTCTCCGGTAGCTTCCTCGGGAACTGCAGAATAAAGTAAAACTTTTATAAACAAGCAAAGGAAAATTAGCCCTAGCTGTTATTGCATATATAAAGGAAACGTTAGCCACATGTAGAGAGCAAGCTACAGTCAATTACAACCTTGTGCGTGAAATTCTACGCATTTCTTGAGGAGTTTTCCTGTTCTCCTCAGCAAAAACAATCCTGATTTCACGTCCTCCAATAACTGAGCGATCCAGGTGGCTTTTCGCCTCAGCTGCATCGTCAGGGTAGCGGAACTTGACAAATCCAAAGCCACGAGGCTCACTAAAATTTCAAGAAAAAATAAAAATCAAGCGTGGATCACATCAGCTGCGTTAAGGTCCTGGAGATGCAGCCCCAACACTTACCCCGTGTAGTAATTTTTGGGCAAGTAGACATCCTTAATTGGACCAAACCTCTCAAATGGAACCCTCAGGTCTTCAGGCCTACAGGAAAAATAAAGGAACCTCAGTAAAATCACATTTCATAAATGATGAAAAACAGAAAGCTATAGGACAAAAGAATTCACAAACAAGCTTCGAAAATCATAAACAAGAATCTGTTAAAGTGATAATTATTGACTAACTGAGTAGTAATCTAATACGGCAGCACAAAAGGAGGCTATTATCCTCCACTAATCAAACAAAACCAACTATATATTGCTTATTTTGAACCTAAAACCCCTAAACTCCTAAGAATCACCTGGTAAGACAAACCTGGAGATCTACAAAATCGATTGAATAATTCAACAGCATTCGCAATTTCGCACCAACAAAAATAAACTAAAAAGATTTCTAAGTTCAGACTCCAGCAGGTATCCATAGAAAGCACTTTACAATCTATTTTTCGCATAATTTTAAAGGATAACGAAACCAAACAAAAGAAACCTTTTCAAGTTCAAATTTCACAATCGATTTTTTTGTTCTGAAGTAAAGAAAAACGTCAAATCACTAACGGAAAGCTCTTGAAATGAGGGGATAAAAAGACCTAGCGCTCAGAGAAATATTTCGAACAAGAAGTCCAGACGGGGCCGGAGAGCGGCGATCATGACGGCGGTCACGGGGATCGTCGTAACGCTTTCTTCTAGCCGGGCTGCGGCTGCGACTCCTGCTCCGATGTCTCCCCATCGACTCTTCTCCGTTTTGCTTTGCGAATTTCACCGGAAACCCGCACTGAGAATTCGCCACAGGAAAACCCTAACCCTAATCTTATCCAGAGGCGTCGCTTCGTTCGCTTCTTTGAAATAAAAATGCGTGCGTCGAAATTTTTGGAGGGAGAATTGATAATTGCAGTTTACTCCTCCATTCTTACGTAAATATAAAAATCGCCCTTTTCATTTTATTATATAACGATACAACCCAAGTGTGTTTGTTTGGAAGTTTTGATTTTGATTTGAATAGTAAAAAATTTGAATTGAAATAGTTATAAATATGATATAAATAAGTATTGATATAATATTTTAAATTTTAAATTAATTTTTAGTATAATATAAAAAATAATTAATTTGACCATTTTTTTAAAAAAAATTAATTAACAGTGAAAAATGCCCCAAACAAAAACAAGTGAATGCCCGTGTAGTGTTGACTTTTTGTGGGTGTGTTTGTTCGGGATTTTGATTTTGAGTTGTGATTTGAATAGTAAAAATTTTAAATCTGAATACTTGGAGAAATTTTGAATAAATAGTAAAATTTTATCCAAATCACACTTTTTAGCCATTTAACATGGTTGTATTTAACCGACGTGTGTCTAGACTATATCAGTTACAATATGATATTCAAGACTAAATTATCATATCATATATCATATATATATATATATATATATATACACAAGAGGTCAATATGGATCCCATTTTTTAAAAAAGTTTTGCAATTTTGACAATTTTTTTTTTTTTACAGTTTTTCAAAATTACAGTTTATTACTCCATTATTTTTACTTATTAGTATTATAATTAATTACTTTTATTATATAATTTTTTTCATACATTTTTTTATATTTAATTACTTTAATTTTTTATTAGATTATATCTATTTTTTAAAATAATTTTATTTAAATTTTAAATTTAAAAAAAAATTCTAATAAATTTTAGATTAATTTTGTATGTATATTAGAGTTTTCAATTTTGTTTATTTAATTTGCTTCATTTTCTTTATTAAGTACTCTCTCCGTCCCAATACATTAAGTCTTGTTTATCATTTTTTCCCGTCTCAAAATAATAGTCTTATTTTTCATAAATAATCATATCACCATAAAACTATTATTATTTTTTTTTATTACACAATTGTCGCTATTTTTTACACTAATACACTCACAAGGGCAAAAATAATTTTTATTTATATTTTTTACCAACTACTAATATAATATCAATATTCTTTCAATCTCGTGTCTAACCCAATTAAGACTATATTATGAGAGTATTATATTTATATTTATAATTATATTCAATTTTGTTTATTTAATTTAATTCATTTTTTATTAATATTAATATTTATATTTGTATGATTATATTAATAAAAAATAAAATATATTTATAATTTAATTTAATAAACAAAAAATACAGTTATTTAATAAATGATTCTTTTTTATTTAACAAAATATCATATTATTTAAACTAAATTTGGAATTATGATTTCAAATTCAACTCAAAATTAAAGGCACTGAAATTTTATATTTAATTTACAATTAAATAAATACTCTATTTATTTGCAAAAATTATGTAATTATTATGTTAGTTAATCTTATTTACAATCCATAAACAACTTTATCTGCCTATAATCTTATATTGCAATTTTATAAATAATAAATAAATTTTTAATTTTTTATAATATTTTTATCAACTCATTAATAAATTGTCTATAATATCTTCACTCTATTTTTACTTATCCATTTTTATACTTAAAATATAATTATTTACTAGTCTATTTGTCCAACTAAATTTATATAAATTTACTAGCCTGATAGAGTAATATACAATTGGTTAGGTGCAGTTTTATTATTAGTATTTTTTTTTTTAAAAAAAATGAAGGTATTATTTAATATATTAGTTTGTTTTTCAATGTATCTTCGATTAATATTATAAAAATATAATATATATATTATATTCAATCGAAAAATAAGTTTTCGTCACGTTTTTTTATATTTAACATAGAAAAATACATAAAACTCAAAATTTAAAACAAACACTTGTTTGAGAGTTTGGATTTTAGTTTGATGAAATAGTAAATATTTTGAACGTGTAAAATTGATTTTTAATATTATATTATTAAAAATAAAAAATATATATTTAATTTGATATTTTTTTAAAAAAATATAATGAATAATAAAAATTTTATAAAAGAACGTACCTCAAATAAGGAGTAGAAAATATTAATTTCTTTTTTGATATGTTTGTAAAACAGTAGGTTTTTTTTTTTTTTTTTTTTCTCTTTTACAGCTATAAACTTTTCTATTTATGTCATTAAATTGTATTCTCATATTTTTTGACATTGCATTTTTAATCTGGGTGTGTAATATCTATTTCTTTTGTTTTTTTACTTTAAGAAAATATATAATATTATATTCTTTCTGTCCCGCGATGGATGAATAAGTTATTAATAATAAATTATGATATTATTTTATTATTTTTTTATATGAATAATATTATTGGTATTTTAAAAAATTTTAAAATTATATCTCGAAAAAATATATGCAATATGAATATCATATAATAAAATTTTATATAATACAAATAAATAAATAAAAAATCATTAACATAAATTAGTTTTATAAAAAAAATGAGGAGTTTTAAATATATATAAAAAAATTATATTAATTGATGAAAGAGACATAAATAAAAGAATTTTGAGTAGTCACGAAGGGATCATCTTTTGTGGAACGTACAAAAAGAAAAAATAGATTGACCGGAGGGAGGGAGTAATAAACCTTCGTCCCACATAATTTGTCCATATTTTCTATTTTCGTCCGTTCCACATAATATGTCCTTTATATTTTTGAAAATATAATTATGCACTTTAATCGCATTTTAAATTTTAAATATTATAATTTTCTTAATTTTAATTAAACTATTTATTTATTTTAATTTTAATCTATAATTATTTTTACTAATACACTTCTTAATTACTTACTAATTATATTTTACCTAAATTTTCGTGTTTACAGTAATACATCAATATTACATGGGATTGAGGGAGTATTTGCTATCTAAATGTGTACTTTGCTCACGGAATTTAATAAAAAATTATAATAATTGTTATTTTTTTATAAATTCAAATCAAATTCAACAATTTTTATTTTTTATTTTTTTTAAAAGAAAAAACAAGTTAAACAGGTCAATATATGAACGGTCGTATTCTTTTCGCCTTATTGTCGTTTGAGTGTCGTCATTTTAACTTCACTAATTAAGTTATTCTGATTAAAAAAACAAAAAACAATTTATAAATTAAAAATATATAAACTGTCGGTAATTACATTAATACAATACATATTATATTATTTATATGTACTATTGTGTTAACAACTTTTAGGGTGTGTTTGTTCGGGTTTGGATTTTGGATTGAGATTTGGACAGTGAAAATTTTGAATTTGAATAGTTGTATGATGTGATATAAATAGGTGTTGATGTGATGTTTTGAATGTAAAATTAATTTTTAGTATAACATAAAAAATGAAAAATAGATGTTTGATTTGATGTTTTTTAAAGAAAAAAATTGGATGAATAGTTAGAATTTAATTCCAATCCTCCAAACAAATCATGGCGTTACGAACTTAGTCCGGATATAGGAAGTAATTAATAGGCGAAAAAAATTAATTTTGATTACAATATAACAAAAATTTATTAATTTTACTCCCTTATAAATAATTTTTATCAATTTTGGTCACACTGTTCAAAAAACTAATGAAAATAGTTGATATGAACGTAACAGAGTTGACGTGGTTAAATTGAAAAATACAAAGTCATTTACAATCATACACGACCATGTTGTCACATGGTCATATATATTTTAGTGTACAATTATACACGACTATGTTATTACATGGTCATCATGTATAATTCTACGCGGTTATGTACATTCCTGTTTTGGTTTAAAAATTTATTATTTTTTTTAAAAAAATATTTTGAATTTAGGATAATTGATATTGTTAAACATTCGGTTACACTACTAATATATATATATATATTTAAAAATATAACAAAAAAAATTAGACCAAAAAAGAAAAGTACACAACCATGTAGAATTAAACATAACCGTGTATAATTGTAAACTAAAATATACATGATTGTGTATAATTGTACATGACCATATAAATTTGTACATGACCGTGTACTTTTCAATTCAGCTGCCACGTCGATTCCATTACGTCAACGTCAGCAAGTTCTATTAGTTTTTTAACAGCGATATCAAAATTGATTGAAATTGTTTATAGTAAGACCAAAATTGATTGAAATTGTTTATAATGAGACTTATATTAGGATAAAATTTGATAAAATTTTAGTTATATTATGACAAAAATTGATTTTTGCCTATTTAATTTGATATAAATAAATATTAACGTTATATTTAAACAAGTAAACTATATTAAACTCTATTATATTCTAGTAAAAATGTATAAGATATATTATATTTTATTTATTGCTATGAAGCCCCTTGTGTTAAATGAAAATTTGCACAAAACACTATATTCGTAAAAAATTGGTGTTTGAATGTAAATACGAACCTAATTATACAAATTTAATACAAAAAAATAATAAATATATTAAATAGTATTTTTAAAATAAACTAAATACATAAATAATTGATTAATCATTCATATATTTTTTTAAGACAAAGTGTTATATTATTATTACAAATACTATAAAACGAAAGACTAATCAATTATTTTTTAAGAAAAACTATTTTAGATATTTGACCTTTTTTGTTTGCAATTTAGGTCTGTGTTTACGATCAAACATCAATTTTAAAATAATATGATGTTTTGTGCAAACTTTAATTTAATAAGATGTTATTTAATTGTTATATAATTACCATACTTTAACTATAAAATTATTTTAAATATAATAATATATATAAAAAAATTGAAGTTAACAGAAAAAATCTTACTTTAAAAAATTACGATGAAAGTTTTATTTGGAATTGCTCAGTAGAAATAAATAAAAATATTTTTATTATTAGTGAAAGTCGATTATTGATATTTTTCACATAAATTTAGATGCATAATATTAAATAGATAATTTGAGAATTAAGTGATATAATGAGAGAAAAGTATATATTCATTTGAATCATGCTAAGAGATAAAATGTGAAGTATGTATTAAATACATTTAATTAATTCTTATTTTAAAAATGTTGAATGATATTTGAAATAAATAAAAGAAAAATGTTGCGGAGTGTTTAAGATGAAGAGAGTATAAAATAATTGTATATATAATGATATTTTATAATTTAAATAAAAATTAAAAATATTTTGATACTAATGTATAATTTTTATTAAATTAGAAAAAATACTTTATAATGAAATATACAAATATAAAAAAAAATAGTTTTAATTGAAATGAAAAAAATAATATTTATTTTAGAAGTAATAACAATAAACCTTCCATAGCATACAATGTTTTATGCACAATACATAAAAAGGTTTTTAAAAATAATACAATAAATAAATAAATATAAATATACTAATATAAATAATTACTGTAGTATAATACTTCATTCGTCCACATATAAAAAAATATTTATCACCGTATTTAAAAAATAATAATATTATAATTACAGTGAATGTTTTAAAAATGATAAACTGATGTTTTAATTACGTAATTGTAGATTCTATATTTTTTTCTATAAATATTTTTATTTTATAAAAAATTTAAAAAATTATCTTTATATTATTTTAAGTATTTACTATAACTAAAATATTACTACTATTTTTTAAATCATGCACTAAAAATAGAATGTTTATTTTCAATATATACACAAGAGAGTTGCATTGTACCAGTCCCAACACAAAATACCCGACACTCATGGAGCTACCAACACTATGACGACACCGATGGGGCCCATGTAATCCAACGCTATTAATTACCCGGGACTCTAAGTCCCGGACCAATACAAACAACTCAAACATCATATAAGAAAAGCAAACAAGCATTCGATTCTCCCACCCCCACCCTCACCCCCAACCCCAACTCTCCCCCCACCCCGGCGGCCCCACCATCTCCCACCGTTCAGAATTTCTCTACGTCGTGTCAGCACCCAGCGCACCGTCGGGAGCACGAATTTTCTGACCCTTCAGAAAAAGAAAAACCATTTTTCCCAACCCCACAATTAATCAATCATGGATGAGAATCCGCCGCCCGCCGCCGCCGCCGATCCATCGGCTTCTTCACTTTTCGATTGGTCTGAATTCCTCAACTTCAACATCGACGATAGCCTCGGCATCTCTTTCCCCCCGCCGGAGCAAGACCAGTCCGGCGTTGACCAAAGTCAACGGCAGGGCAGTCCGGGTCGGGTGAGGAAGAGGGATCCGAGATTGGTCTGTTCGAATTTCCTCGCGGGTCGGATCCCCTGCGCCTGCCCGGAACTGGACGAGAAGCTGGATGAAGAGGAGGACGCGGAGCCCGGGCTGCCCGGCAAGAAGCGGAACCGGACGGGTCGGGCCCCGGCCGGAAATCCGATTCGTTGCCAGGTGCCGGGTTGCGAGGCGGATATTAGTGAGCTCAAAGGCTATCACAGGCGGCATCGGGTGTGCTTGCGGTGCGCCACTGCCGGCTCCGTCGCTCTCGGCGGCGAGAGCAAGAGATACTGCCAGCAGTGCGGGAAGTAAGAATCGGGATCCTCGTAGCTTAATTCCGTGGATTTAGTTGTCAATTTATGAAATTTGTTTTTGCGAAATTGGGGGTATAGGGTTTATATCGATTGCGCTGCTGTTGATGACGAACTGCATTGGGAGCTAACCTTAGATTATCTCAGTAGCATGCTTATGAATTGTCAATTCTTTTCTCAACTTCATTGCGTATGATGTCTGGGAGGATTTTGACTTTCTAGGGTTTATAGTTTTTATTGTGAAGAATTATCACACCATTGGCTTGATTCATCCTTGCTTCAATGGCTATGACTAATTTAGCTGATTGTTATACCTTTTCTCTGAGATTTGCTAATCTGTAGCTCTAGTTATGAGAGTTGAATGTGGCAGATTGCAGCTGATTTATTCGTGATTGGGCTAATAGGTCGGGTGCTTTGGCAGGTTTCATGTCTTGTCTGATTTTGACGAGGGCAGACGTAGTTGTAGGCGGAAACTAGAAAGGCACAATAAGAGGCGGCGACGAAAACCTGATGAATCCCAAAAAGACTTGGGGAAGGGAGCACAACAGGTTGTGCTGGTTGATGACATAAGTGGAGATGACACAGCTGAAAAAGGTTCGGCGACCTTGGTGGCTTTTAGATTAATGAGTTTTGATCTTTGTATTTTTCTTTTTCCGATAGTTTCTCACTGATTCTTCCTTAGACAAGCCGTGTTGGAGCAATTAAGTCTAACCTACTATAAAACTAACACTCATCGTATGAATCCCTACTATAAAGTTGATATATCTTCCTATTGCCTTTATGAAAAAATAGATTTGTTTGTCTGCACAAGAGGAGATCAAACTTTTAGGCAAGATGGATATGTAACAGCATGTAGAGTTTGATTCTTGTTAGTGTTGAACACTTAGGATAAATTTCAGTTCTTTCTAGTTTGCACTGTTTTGGTTATGTTTTGGCTATCCTGACGACTTTTTGACAATCCAGATGGAGCATCGTTGAGCAGTCAAGTAGAAGAAAGAGAGACATTGTTGGATTCAGATGGACACATCTCCACACTATGTTCCATGCCCGGTTCTCAAAATGTCCAAACTGATAGTATTGTGTCTTTTTCAGCAGCCATTGCTGAAACTCATACAGATGGCGACAACCAGAATCCAGAATCGAAATCCTCTCCTCTCTACCTTGACAACAAGAGTACTTTTTCCTCTGTGGTATTCCTGATGTCTTGTATATGCATTCCGTATTTATTTCTGTTTCTCACCGAATGCCTCACAGGTTAATTGGCAATACTTTGATATCTAATGCAGTGCCCTACTGGTCGGATCTCCTTCAAACTTTATGACTGGAATCCTGCAGAGTTTCCTCGACGACTGCGACATCAAGTATTTCAAACGTTATTATTGCAGTTTAGTATTATACCAGGGAAATAAACAATTCCGTTTATATTAAGATTGCTAATGGTTTCTAATTGACATGTTGGTGGTATGCTTATAGATATTTGAATGGTTGGCTAGTATGCCTGTTGAATTGGAGGGCTACATCCGTCCCGGTTGTACAATTTTGACAGCTTTTATTGCCATGCCAAAGCCGGTGTGGCGTAAGGTATTCGCGTAATTCAGTCTTTCATAGTGACTGTAAGAACTGCAGTACACTGAGCTAGCAACAGTTAGATGGTTTTTATCTCTCTGTTTGCTTATGAATTATAAATGTGTTGTAATCGTGGCACGACATTCTTGTCTTTTATAATTGATATTGTTCTCATGGCTTCAATTGTTTTGGAAAATTCCTCGTTTTTTGTAAACTCCATTATGTAATATATGCAATATGTTGGCGTTGGAGCAGCTGTTGGAAGAGCCAACTCTGTACATAAAAGACTTGGTTTCTGCCCCGGGGAGCATGTTGTCTGGAAGAGGCACAATGTCTGTTTATCTTAATGAGATGATATTCCGTGTCACGAAAGGTTAGCTGGTTAATGATTTCAATATTTCATTTCGTCAAGGTTTTCAATCAAAAGTTTGGTAACTTATCTATTATCAAAACTATTGTACTTGGAGCCGAGCCATTGGAGTTCGTTAGTTTGTGTACCTGATCTGATTTAGAAATTCCTAAAATTTCTGGTTGGGTATCATTAAACTATTGTAATTAGTTTATATTTAATCAATTATAATAATATTTATAATAGCCTTGCTTCATTATGTTACTTGGGAGTGCCACATCAATGGATAGTGTTGATGATTTATTTTTGGAACCATTGTTGAAACAGATGCTAATTCAGTTGTGAGAACAAGAACGAGGAGTGCAGCTCCAAAGCTTCACTACATATATCCAACTTTCTTCGAGGCTGGAAAGCCAATGGAATTTGTGGCTTGTGGGAATCATCTACTGCAACCAAACTTTCGGTACAATATGGTGCTCATTTCTAGAAAATTAGTTGTTTTAAACTTTTCTTCAATTTGCTGAAAGTCCCTCAGAGATGTCTTTTCCACTGATAGGACCGAGACATTGATGGAAACGCCAATGGACGACAATTATTGTTATTTTTTCTATAATTTTGCGTGCCGATGCACTCTCATTACCTGCTTTCATGCTTTCTACATGAAACCCTAAATAATTTATCATGTCAGGTTTCTTATTTCATTTTCCGGGCGATACCTTGTGTATAATATTCGCGTCTCCTCTATATGCTGTGAAAAAGGAGGCGCTGACTCGATAGATCATCAATTGTTGAAGATTTTTGTACCTGGGATTGATATAGATGTCAGGGGCCCTGCTTTTATTGAGGTGAGATTTGTGTTTCTTAATACCTTCTCATGCATATCTTGCTCGTTGTACAAGTCTATAAACCATTCATTTCACCATAAAGGTCATTTTATCGGGATGCTAGTAAAGGATGGTCATAATTGACTTGAACTTCCAGAGCGTGCTTTTAATACATATGAATGAGTTTTGCTACTATATAACATGTAGTTTGCTTGTTGTCTGTCTAAAAACTTGGGTTCTTGGGAATTAAATAATAAGAAGATTTGATTGTTTTAAACTCAAAAAACCCCCTGCGCTGTTTCTGTACATCAAATTCCTTATTTTGTAAGAGGGTATTATATACTCTCTCCGTCCGGTAAAATTAGAGCATTTGTGTCCGCCTCACAAAAATTAAAAAAGATGAATATTTTATTGAAAAAGTAATAAAAGTAGAAGAATAATTGGGGATATTTTTGGAAATCTAATTAGAATTAAAGAAAATGAGGATAGAGAATGTAATAAAGGTAGTCGTATTTGTTGTGAGGAAAGTGTTGAAATAGTTAAATGTTGACTTTGTCAAAATTAGTAACAGGGTAATTTAGCAACAGACTAAAAATAAAAGTGAGTAAATTTGGCGAACGGAGAGAATATTTCAGTTTTTTTACGGAATAAAATACGCCGCAAATAGTATCGTGGATTATTTTCTAAATCAGCTACGTACATCTTTGACTCGTGTCCTCTTTCACGGTAGAAGACAGTTTTGGTTTTCTGTATGGCCTTTCCAGATTTAGCTCAAATCCAATTTTATGTATGCGATTGCTAAAATTAGTAAAGAACTGAACTAGGCTGTATGAAATAATACTTGTTTATTCTCCATTTCTCTACCTATTTTGTTTTTTTCCTTTTTTTTTAGGGGGGGGGGGGGGGTTATATTTTTATTAACCATAAGTAGCATTTTGTGTCTGACTGTCAGTACGAGGATATCTTTTAATGAACATAGGTTGTTTTATTTATATCGACGGCTTCTGCAGGTTGAGAACCAATCTGGTTTATCCAACTTTATCCCAATTCTCGTTGGTGACAAAGAAACTTGTATGGAAATGGAGGTTTTGCAACGAAGGTTTGAGAAACACGTATCCCCCCAAGAACACACACCATCTCCTCTACAGCCCAAGTGTGAGGTTTTTGCTTTCAGGCAGTCACAATTTTCGGAGTTTATTTTAGATGTTGCATGGTTGCTGAGGAAACCCACATCCAAACAACACTTGACGAGTATTCATATTCAGAGATTCAACAATCTGTTGAATTTCTTGATAGAAAATGAATCCCGTGTGATCTTGGAGAGAGTGACGAGCTGTTTGAATTATTATATGGACAACAGTTCGATCGCTGACATATCTGATTCTGAGATGGGATTATTCCGAAGAAGTATGGATATTGCTCAGCAGAGGCTTGCTCAGAAATTATTAGATGAAGATGTTTCCATCATGCCAACCGACGATAGAAATTTTTGCCGGAAAAGCTCCTGCTCCCCTGACACAATGCAATCTGTTGTTCCAGCCACTAAACAGGTAATCAGTTAAGTTATTTTTTTTATTTCTCTATTCATTACAATATTCGACACAACATAACTGAAGTTTGGAGGTTTCTGTTTGCTGCCATTGTCATTTCCAGTTGTTTATGCCTGAATTTCATGAAAAAAATAATATAGTTCATGATTTCAAATTGTGTTTAAGTCGTAGCATACCTTATTGAAGATAGGAGTGGTAATTTCAGACACAACCTAAATATAGACGAAAGTAAGACATATTAATAGGTTTAGGATTGGGCGGTCATGTTTGGTTCAACATGTTGTCTCCTGATGTACGTAGGCATTAAACCGAGTGTTTGTAACACTATTGTTATATTATCCTGCAAAGTAAACGTGCCCCAATAGTGTTAGAAGGATTACTAATCATATTGTTTTCACTGCCAAACTTTATTACAAATTCAAGATAGAATCAACCTGAGTAGAAAATCTGGTATGTCATATGTATGTTGTTGTGGTGAATGTTTGCGGAGATAATCTTTAAGGGGGGGGGGGGGGGGGGGGTGTGGGGTTGCTTGTTGGTGTTCAAGTGAAAAATCTCTTTATTTTGTCCGGTTGATGTTTGGAGGATAAAGTAGTTATGTTAAGAGTTTTCTTTTCTTTCTTTCTTTTTTTTTTTTTTTTTAAGTATTTATTTAAGAGATTTGGCTTTGTTTAGATAAGAGTTTTGGTTTGTATTTGACTAAGTGTATTTGGATTTGAATTTTGGTTTAAATAGTATTTTGGTGTGATATTTTATGAAAGTAAGTAAGATATTTTTATTGAGAACTCTACGGACTGAATAGTGAAAAACGACCAAACAAGTTTTGAAGAATTTTAGTAATAGGAGATATTTAATGTTATGTTTTGTGAGATGAAATAAGTATTTTTGCTAAAACTTTCAAAAGTCAATGTAAACCGAGCCTTAAGATGTGTTAAGATATGTTTGGACGTATTTTGGAGTTTTGGGTTTGTTTGAAAATAGTAGAAAACTGAATGGATCATATGTCCATATAAATAGAAATTTGATGCGAAGTTGAAGAGGAAAATGAATTTTCAATATAATATATTAAATGAAAAATTAAGTCTCTTTTTTTTTTTTTTTTTTAAGTGTGTAATTCTGAAGTTTGATTTTATTTTTTGGTTTTGATTTTGGTTTTTGATTTTTAGTAATATTTTGTGAAAAAAAATAATATATTTTTACAAGGAATCAATAAAAATATATTACATCAGAATACTATTTCTTCTTTCTTCTTTTCTTTCGTGTCATATAGTGATTAAGTTAAAAATTCACAACTTGTTCTCATTTGTTGTCAAGAATGTATCGTAACAATTTCACTTTTCAACCATGCGCAGAAAATGACACCAAAGCCGAGCTCACCTTTGCCACCTCTGGACGAAAGCATAAGAACTCCTCTTTTAAAAGGAGATGTGATCATGAACGTAGAACTTCACAACAAGCCGGGAAAGATTTGCGGGCCATTGTTAACTAGATCGATTCTCACCTCACGGTCCATCATCATCATGGGAATTGCCGCCATTGGTGTTTGTTTTGGAATATGTGCGATCGTCATCCACCCCCAACGGGTAGGTCAGATCGCCACAAGTATACATAGGTGCTTGTTCTACAAAGCTTAGCCATTTCCCAATCGGTGAGTGTCTTTCATGTGTACATACAAATCTTTTCTTCGGAAAAAGGCTTGTAGAAAATTCTATGCTCGAGTAATTAGTTTTGAGTGTCCGTGGAACGGGCGGGTGATCGACAGGGTCGAGCTTTTTTGTTCCCTTTTCTTGGATGTGTACCTTTTGTAGGCTTTTGATTTGTTGCTTATGTGAAACTAATCTGGTATTTCAACAAAGAATCAGTGCAAATTTATATGCTTCTTTTTGGGCACATTTTGTGTGCATTTTGTTTGTCCGTTTGGTTTTTGATTTGGGCATGGAATGAGTTGTTTTTTTATAGCATTGTTCTCTTTTAATACTTTTATTTACTATTTAATTCTCATTATTTCAATATTTATATATATATATATATTTATAAAATTATCATATTAAAAATTTATTTAAATTGAAAAAAAAAAAAAAAAAAAACAGTTTGTTGCTTGCTTGTGCATTATTTTCTTATTTTGGATGTGACGTTGAAGTAATGGATGTGTATTGTTTTACAAGTTGAAAAATTGAATAGTAATTAGTAAGTGATGTTCATTTTAATGTTTTAAGGGTGTGTTTGTTCGGGGGATTGGATTTTTAGGATTTTAAAGTATGGATTTGTAAGTTGTGTTTGTTTGGGGGATTGAATTTTGTACTCCCTCCGTCCCACACGTACCATGTCTGCTGCACTGTAAACACGGTATTTTAGGATGGATGTAATTAGTAGATAATATTCGGTGTAATTATTTTTCAAAAAAGGAAAGTGACATGTTATGTGAAACGGACAAAGGAAAGTAACATGTTATGTGAGACAGACATAAACGGCAACGTGGACATGGAATGTGGGACGGATGGAGTAATAATTATGTTGGAAGAAATTATTATTTTATTGAGAGAGATGATACGATTGATGTGATAGTTTGAATTAAATAATATTTAGATATAATTGAAAAATAATTTTGAAATAGTTGAAATGAAAGTTTGATGTGATGTTTAAAAAAATATAAATATTTTATATTATTAAAATTGTGTATATATTGCATGACGTACCACCTATAGCATGTATCTTCAATCACGTGAAGATTGCAGAGAATCTCAACAGGCTATCTTTAGCCTACCCTATAGGTTAGTAGAATTTGGATTTTAATTTTTAAATTTGTATAATAAGTGTACAGTAGACATTAAGTGGAGTCCAGTAGAAAATGAAGGTTCAATGTAATAAATTTTTTTACCAGTATTTTTTTGTTTTTCTGAGTTTAGTGTACCGTTTATTTATTTATTTATCAAACATTAAAATAAAAATGCACTCATATTTATTTACTTTGTAATTTTTTAAATTTTAGTTTTATATTTTAATTTAAAAATAGATTAAATATAATATTTTATTAAAAAAATAATAATGTTTGCATAGAAAAAAACATAATAAATAACGCGTAAATGTATATAAATAAAAATAGAAAAAAAATTCAAATGAAATAAATTTCATGGTTGTGGTTTGAAATATTAAAAATTTATTTTATTAATATTTGATATTTTATGAAAAAAAGGGTATATTTTTATAAAAAAAAACATGTATACAAATATTGATAATTTCAAATTAAAATCAAAACCACACTAAAATACATTATACAAACCACCTTCCCGTACACTTGTTCTCGACAATCTATCCATTTTTTCCTGCCCTATTACAAAATATCCATTTCATTTTTTAATAATTGTACCATCTACCTTACATTGCAAACACCCTTTAAATTTACAATATATTACACAAATGTCATTAACTTTATATCATACAATACTAATAGGTTAATTTAGTCTTTTTACATTTATTTCTACTTTATCCCAATATAATACTAATATTTCTAAAACTCCGGTGAAAAAAATAAATGGATATATAGATATGAACAGAGAGAGTAATAAATTACATTAAACTAAAGTAAACTAGAGTTAGATTCAAATATGAATACATTTATTAATACTGGCAACAATAAAATGTCATAACATGTTACAAATTGATTGACAATCACAAATAAATGTTTGAATAGCCTTCTAACATATATGCTAACTATATTTTCTTTTAAGCTTTAAAATTCCACCATGTTCGGGATCACTCTCGCCTTCCAAACCAAATATGAACGAATATAAAATATCGGACACCAAATTATTGAGACGTACATACTTTAGGAGACATCGAAACCCCATCATCCAAACACACTTATCCAACACACATCTACAAATGCAATGCAAACATATACATACATATACACATATATATATGCACACACACGAGCATCTACGTCTCTTGCTCAATGGATATTACGAGCAATCAACCCCTCAAAGATCGAATAAAGATCCTTGTTTTCCACGCCAAATATTTCATCGGCTTTTTGGAGGGTTTCCTAGTGCAAATAGAGGATAATTAAATCACACTTTTACGATGAAATGAGTTTTAAAAAAAAGAAGAAAAAGAAGAAGAAGAAGTTTCGAGAAATAGTAGATATTGCATTTGTATTAATATACCTCTTTTGTTTGTTTATTAGCATTTAGTTCCTTCACATTCGCTAGAAATGCTCCAAATTGCTCGAGGGATAGCCGGTTCCTAGTCAAACCAAATAAAGTATTGTCAAAATGATAATTCATTAGCTTTCAATAAAACACCAATATCATAGTTTGTAATTGTCCATTTCGAGCAAGGAAAAAAAAAAAGAAACGAAAGTGATAATTTGAGCTCGAAGAACTTCATCTTTGATACTAATAGATGTAAAAATATAAGATAAATTGCAATTAGCATGAAGCACTTATTGGTGTTTTTCGAGAGGTTTACAATATATAAAATATATATATTCATGTAATATTTACCAAGGATGATTCGATACCAGAAAAATATAATACATGTATATATGAAGTACCTGACTTGTCGGAAGAATTCTTTTCCATCCACACGAGTCTTTCCTGTAGTGTCCAAACAAGACATCATAGTGTTAAATAATGCCCTCGCCTTGAAATCAAACGACTCGATTTATAAAAGCTCAAATTCGAAATTCAACAAGCTTAACCAACTGAGGGGCAAGTTCTAAACTCATATAGTTATTGAAAGTTCATCATAGGTTGATCATCAACACCAATTCTTGGATAATCCACATCACTTTCTTATTTTATTGTGATACAAGATTCCCTTTTAGAAATTTACTCGTAAAGTTCTTCTACAAGGAGGGTGCACTCACCTACTATAGCCTGATGATATATATATACACATTCCATCATTTCATAGAAGATTAGGGCTGAACCCTCGTTTTTCAAAGGTAAATTGTATAATATTCATTTATGTTTTATTTATTATGTGAAATCCCCTGTGTATATTAAAGTATGTACGAAGCACTTTTTTCATCCAACGTTAACGTTATTGTAAATAGAGCTGTTAAACAAGCCGAGCGAGCTCGAGTATTGGTTGTTCGAGCTCGATTCGAACTTGGTAACGGTACAGATTCAGCTCGGCTCGTTAAGAATTCGAACAAAAATAGTGGCTCGAGCTCGGCTCGTACTCGAGCTCAAGTTCGAGTTTGACTTGAATTTTATACATATTTTATATATTTTTTAATATAAAAATTAAATATATTTAATTTTATTCATAATTTTTTATAATAAAATAGTTAAATTTTAATAATAAATGTAAATTTTGATATAAAAAATTATATATTATATGAAATATATAAATATATTATCACCAACGAGTTCAATTGAGCTACTCGCGACTCGAGCTCGAGCTTGTTTGTAAAAAATAATTTTTAAGCTCAAGCTCTACTTGTTTATCTCTGTAAACGAGCCGAATCGAGCTTGGCTCGCGAGCTACTCGATTCGTTTAACAATTCTAATTGTAAATACACAGTTACAAATAAAAGAATATTTAAGACATTTTGCCCCTTTTACTTACAAGTGTGTACTTACATTTAAGGTTAGCAATGCATGAAAATAGTGTTTTGTTTCTACTTTAATATAACAAAAAAAAATATCATACAATAAATAAAACACCGATTATTTTATGCATTTGTAATAGAACTCGGGTGGTTATTATGCAATTTACTCATTTTTTCAACGTGTACTTGTTGTGCTGCTATTTATAAACGGAGAAAGCCATGATAACTAACCCGGTTGGGATCCAGAATCCAAACTTGATGCCGAACCAGCAGTTGATGGCACAGAAGAATATATATTAGACTTTTCATCGAAAACACTTCTTGCTGTCGAAAATGAAAGTGATTGGCGCCTCGGAGATCCCAGTTTTGGTGTTCTTGATGGAGAACCAGATGCAGATAGATGTGGTGGGGAACCGGGAGGTGTAAGGCGAGGTGTGCTTGTTTGGGATCCGATCAATAAGGATTGTGATATCCGTGGCCTAACTACTATACAATAACAAAAATAATAATAAGGAGATAGATAGATGGAAAGTCATGGCTAGAAAAGCTTGAATAAGAAGAAAATAGGAAGAGAACAATTAAAGAAGAGAATGAGCATACCATCTGTTTCGACATCTTCAGGGTTGGAATTTCCGGTATCATCATCTGAGAGAACTCAAAAAACTGACAATTCAGCTAATCATGTAATTGAAAATTCCTATGAGAGTATCATAATACTTATTATCGTAAATTTCCGGTGAAGGCACACCATTGCATTTTAGTTCTACAAGAAATATTTATCTTTAGTTTAGTCACAAATGAGATTAGGTGTAATAATAATCTATGGTAAACATAATTTTAGCACATATAAAACATACTGACAACATATAAAATATTGTGTGAAAATTTGTTTTTATACTGAAATCAATTATAGCAAATATTACGTGGAACTATATTATGAGTTGTCGGTCTATGTGTTGCATTGCTTGTATTCTACCGAGATATTGTGTCCTGAATTATAAAATTTAGTATGGTAACAACTGCCTAATTTTAAAGAAAAGAAAAGTTACTGTATTTATAGAAAAATATACAAGTTCCAATATGAATTTTTCAGTTAACCTTAATGAATCTAAATATTATGGAACTATCATATGTATATGTATATAATTAGTCAAATAATAGTAAACTTTATTATTATAACTGACTTTTAATTGTAGAATAAATAATGCACTTTGTTATATGACAAGACTACAACAAGGAAAGAGAACTTTGTACGAGATAAAAAATGCAATTTTACCTAATTTAAAGAGATAGAAGACATTGTATGTGTTAGATTATGTAAATGATCGACTCACCTAAAAGGTTAATTTAAGGCTCTGATACCATGACCGACTCATCTAAAAGTTCAAACTATTAAGATATGCATCATTTATTTAATTTATCTACAAACGGAAATCAACTAACAACATGCATAGCCACACAAGGCCTAAGATAATTAAAATTAGAAAACCTGCAATGCTTGCTTTTCTTGATGTAATCGATGCACTTGCCTACATAAAGAACAAAAGAAAGTAATTAGAAATTAAAAATATGGCCATTTCTACATGTGAAAGAATATATATATCTTCAAAAGCAATGCATGATTCAATGAGTTGACATCCTCTGCTCGCTCGAGTCTGCAGCCGCGGTTAAACTTACAGGATTGTCTTCATCATCTTGTAGTGATTGCATAAGTTTTTTCCTGAACGCCTCCAACTGCAACAATGAAAACCATAAGAATCTGTTTCCAGATACAAACATAAGTCAAATGACCATTCCACTGATGGATAACAGAGCACAATTCAAGATCTTAAATCATAATCGGGCCCGGAGATGAGCATTAAATACTAGTTTATGTCATTTACTATAATGCAATAAAAATCATGTTTGCAACATAGTTGTCAATTTCGGATAGGTTACATAGTGAACTGACCTCTAAAATGCTATAGTGGAATTGTTGACTGCTATTTAAAAATTTTATAATATATATTATTATATATACAAAATTACAATAAAAATATATAAGAAAATTCCATAAGTTAATCTCATGATCTCATAATTATCATTCAAACCAAAAAATTTGTAAAATATATGTAATAATAGATAGTTATATAAGCGAAAACAATGAGATCACAACTACTTTAATATTCAAAATCTGATAAATAACTTTCTTGGTCGTTTCCACCATCCTCACTGTTACTTTTGTGTGGATATTCATCTTTTCTTCTTTATTTTCAGTATTTCTTTCAATTGTATGTTGTCCCATTGCACAATATTCTTTTTTTAGGGTTAGAAGTATCTAAATATATTATAATAAAATAGTATGAAATCTAACATTTATCAAAAACAAATATAATATTATATTATAAAATATCTAAACCTACTTAAGCATAGTCCATTTACTCTAAACAATTTTATCCACCCAAAAATTTATATCCTTACTTTAATAAATAACAATTAATTTGTCACAATTTTCTCTATTTATCTCATTATAATTTTATTTATTTTTTGATAAATTTTTCATAATACTTCATTTTACTTTTTACCTACTCTACTTTTATATTAATATATATATTTAATCTTCATGTCCAAGCAAAATAGCATAATTATGCCAAATCAATGGAATATAATATATTATTCAATTTAAAAGGCACTCCATTTTGCTACACCACTATTAGCATGCAATTGACAACTTTAGTTTGCAGGAGAGTAACAAGAAAGACAACAAGAACTTTGAATTAGATTTTTATGATCCTCAGCGCCATAGATTCTGCAGGGATGAGTTAGCACACACTGCTGTTCAAACTATATGGTCCTGCCACAAGTCTTCATAATAGAACTAAAGTTGGGACTAAAATCGAAAAGGTACGCCACCATTTGAAAATAAAATCAGCACTTTCAAATGGCCACAGCTCGACATTTTTTTCAACACTTGTCATAAACTAAAAAAGTCAATTTACATCGTTCAACAACAATATTATGGAGCTGAACAGACAATTTGGCCCCCTTTTTACTTATTATCTCACACACATGATGCACACTGCAACTATGAGTTGGCATAATGTGTTAGTAAATCACTAACTAACATCAAGAGTACATTTGCCAGGCTGTGCTACTGTTTGCAAGTAAAAAATCAAATCTTTCAGATGACAGAAATTGGAAGCGATACGCCCGTATGTTGTGGACCTAATATTCAATATACATCACGTAACCCGAGCTGCAAAGACCATTCAGGTCCCCTTCTACTTATTATTAACACGCGCGCACACACACATCAGAAATTAACATTGGGACTAAACTAGCAAGCTACACTTCCCGGGTTGGAACTAAACACTTTGAAATGGCTAAGATTAACTTTTCAACATAATGGGATTGGTACATTTTCGTAGAATTTCAAAGTTGTATATTATTAATAATGAAATTAGGAGACATTTAGAAATGTGGCACAGACCGGACAGACACAAATAAATCCAACATAATATAATAAAATAGTAACATAATTTATACAATACAGAGTCAGGGGAGGGCCCTATCAGAATCGGGGCAGGGCAGGGCAGGGCTGGGCTTTGAATGAGAGTCAAAATCGGAAGCAAGACTTTGAACAAAAACATACAATCAAAGGCTGAACATAAACTTTATTGAAATTGGACACAAATTTGACATACAAGTCTGGTACATCAAATTCATGAGGCTCCAAGTTGTATGTAACCGGAGAAACATGGATGTCATGTTACATTTTATAAAATTTCAAAGTTGGGTAGTATTAATAATAAAATCAGAAGCCTACATAAACACAAATAATAACAATTTAACCTGAAATAATAGTAAACTAATTTAAACATTAAACCAAATAGATGTGTTTTTCTAACAAAAGTTTCTCAATTTTTACTATTTCGACTATGCGTTCCGAAAAAAGAAGTAAATTTTCTCTAACAAAATATCATATCAATATTACTAAATCTTCTCAATCCAAACTAAAAAAAAAAAAGACAGGATCATCTGAATTCCAATTACTAATTCTGAAGACATTGAGAATCCCTATCATAGTCCATGTTGCAGGACTTTCAACGAACCAATTTCCTTAGTTCCAATGGAAATATCTCAGATCCAGCTATAGTTGTCAACATATTCTACAGGTCTTTTAACTTCAATAACCAAAAACCATAACCAGAGAAACAGCCAAAACTACATATCACAAGAACAATGAACCAAAAATCGATCGAATGTAACATAGACATTGCCATTTGAGAAGAAGACAAAAAAACACAAAGATGATTCAATAGCTTCCAAAAAGCATAAAAAATCAGTGAACCAATGAGTACCTTCACAACATCTCTATTGAGCTTCTTCACCGTATTGCTCAGCTCTGCATTTTCCTTCAACAAGCTTTCCTACACATACATACATACATATATATACACGCGTGTCAGTGTGTGTGTTGTATCTATAATGGAAACCGAATGTGAATTCGAAGTTCAGGAACGAACCTTCTCTTCCTGAACGGCGGCGAGTCTATCAGCCGTATCGGCGAGAGAGGCGTCGAGCGACTCGAGCTGCGACTCGAGGTCGGAAATTATGGCGTCTCGTTCATCGAGATGCTGCTGGAGAGCGGCCGCCTCCGACTCGAGTGCGCTGACTCGTGTGGAGAGAGCGATGGAGGTTATCTTACGCGCCACATCGAGCTGCTCGAATGGATCGGAAGGGAGTACCTCCAGCAACTCCTCCGGAAGATCGAACTTCCGGCCGCCGGCGCCGGCGGAGTCCTTGGACTGCATCTTTCGCCTTCCTCTGTTACATTAATTGTAAGATAATAATTATTATAATTATATAATAAAATTGGGTTTTTATAGGGTGCGGGTGAGTCCACTGTAGCCACTAATTTGTGGCCAATGTTTGGATAAGGAGTTGCTTCTTCGACTCAATTTGGTTACCCAATTTATAGATTTTTATTTATTTATTATTATTTTTTTTTAGCTTTTCTTCATCCAATATATTAAAAACATAAAATATATATAATATTGGAGATGTTATGATACTAAATGCAAAAATTAACAGTATGCTCATTTTTGCATTTACTAATCATGATTTAAAAGGATATATATGGTTAGATTATTTGTAAATATGTAAGTAATTGTATTTAAATAGTACAAATATTCGAAATTATGAACTGTAGTCAAATCGAAAATTTCGATCAATTAAAAATATTTTTAATATTTTGTAAATAATTCAAATCAAACCAAATTTTAAAAAAATATATTAAAAATGATTAAACTCAATTATATAAAACTATTTGCAACTATTGCAAACCGAACCTAACTGAATATAATATAATTATTTTTATAAATTTTAAAATTAATAATAAAAATATATTCGATTCGATTCCGTTAACTGGAAAAATGGAGTATAAAAAATCGAAACCGAATTGAATCAAATAAATATCAAATATTCAATATTTGTATCCCAATCGACTTTGTTCGATTAATTGAAAATTTGGTTCAGTTCAATTCCGTTTTTTTGCCTATGCATTGTTCGGTTAGTTCATATGTCTTTTATACTCCCTCCCAAATACCGTGTCTGTTACACTGTAGACACGGTATTTTAGGAGGGGTGTAATTAGTAGATAATTAAAAATGTATTAGTTAAAATAATTATCCTATAATATAACTAATTAGTTTAATTAAAATTAAAAAAATAAAATTTAAAAATTTAAAATGAGATTAAAATGTGTAATCATTTTCCAAAAAAGAAAAGTGACATGGTACGTGGGACGGACAGAAACGGCAACGTGGACATAATATATGTCACGGAGAGAGTATTACATTAACATAGAATAAACTACTAATATCATAGTTAAATTTAACATTATTTTAATTTGAATTCGACATATTACACCATCTATATATTTTTATTTAACACTTCATGTATTATTTATATTTATATCGTATATTATTTTTCTCTTTATTTAGCACTTAACAGTCGTCATATAATATGCTCCTCTGTCTGTCCGACAGAATGTATTCTTTCAATTTTTTTTTAGTAAATTTAGAAAATATATAAAATAATTTTTAATATTTTTGTTAAAAATTACTTTTGAATAAGATTAAAAAAAATAGTAAATAATATATTGAATTGGTACCGTGAGAATATATTATATCCACTTACAAAAAGCCAATAATTTAATATAAAATATTATAAATTATATTTCGGAAATAATTCTATATACTAATATAGAAAAAAAGATCTATCTATAAAATACAAAACAAACAAACTTTAGACTTTATTTTAGATATTATTTTTATTTCAAGTGATGAGTTTTTAAAAATATTGACAATAATGAAAAATTGGATGTTTAGTAATTTTTTTTAATGCTAGTACAAAAATATTTAATGTTATTTTTTAAGAAATAATAATATTACATAAATAATATCTAAAATTTTAGTAAGTGTATATGTAAATACTTTATTTCTGAATAAAAAATATTTATTTTTTTATTTTCGTCCGTTCAAATAAAAAATATTTATTTTGTTTTTTTATTTACTTCGTGTTTTTTTTTTAAAATAAAAATACCTTCTAATTAATATTATGGCTATTTTAACAAAAATCCCCCACCTCCCCCCCTCCCTCCAAAATTAATATATTACCCACACTCTTTATTTCTACATTATCTATACATTTTTCATATAACATAAATTTTACACTACTTTATTTTATTATATATTTATTAAATACTTATATCCGCATAAAAAAGAAATAAATACATTTGACTCGGCAAAACCGTGTAAAGAAAAAGAGAAAATTGCATAAAAGGTGGAATTGAATTTTTTTTATTAAATTGGATAAATTACTATTCATCAATTTTTTTTAAAAAAATATCAAATCAAATATCTATTTTTTTATTTTTTACATTATATTAAAAATTAATTTTACATTCAAAATATCACATCCCGCGTCTATTTATATCACTGTCATACTACTATTTCAATTCAAAAGCTTTAATATTTAAATTATAACTCAAAATCCAAACATCCAAACGAAATCGTCTAATATGTCGCCTCCTAAGTGTACCCAAAATTCTATTATTTTAGTCCCTCTGTCTCGATTCAGATAATCAATTTGGTTAGTAATACAGTATTTTAAATTAATAAATTATTAATAATAAATTATAATACGATATTTTAATAATGTAAATTAATAAATTATTAATAATAAATTATAATACTATCTTTCATCCTATGAAATCAGCTCAATTTATTTAACATTAAAAATATTCTTATATTTATTTATATTTAAAAAATTAATAAAAATATTTTTATCACTTTTACGTTCATCTGTACTACATATTGATATAATAATTGATAGTATTCAAAGATTAACATAAAAAAACTCATTAAACTCTTCTTATGAGACGAAAATAATATTATTTTATTATTTTTTATATGAGTAATATTGTTGGTCGAATTTGATGCGGTCTTGCCAAAAATAATACTTGACTCTGCAGCAGTTTTGAATGAAATGATTTTTAGTGTGCGGTATAATAAATTGTGTCAAAAATATAAATTATATTAATTTTAAATTGAATATTTGACTTTTGATTTATTGTAATAACTTTTTGACTTTTTATAATAAGTATTCTGAATTTTATTTTATTTTTTGTATAAAATATTTTGTATTTATTATTATTATTTTTGAAGAATATCATAATCAATATTTTTGGGCAACAATCATAAATCTATTTTGTAGTGCATTAATTATAATAATAATAATAAGAATAAGAATGAAAGTGATTGGAACATTTCATCACCTGAGGAATGCATATTAAATGCAGTAGCATTGTTAGGTAAAATTAAATTCATTTTCAAGCAATAAATTAAAGATTTTTTTTAATGAAAATAATAAAGAAAATATGATATTTGTGCTTTATAAAATTGTATAGAAAATATAAAAACAATGAATGCATATTTTAGTTTATTTTTTTTAAGAAAAACGTGTGAAAAAAAATAAGTGAAATAACAAAGCTGTGGTTGAATATTAAACATTAATTATTTTTTTTTTAAAAAAAATTGAAGATTATTAAAAATAATATATAGCATCAAACCAGTATAATTAAGATAACTAAATAATATAATTAAGATAAAAAATAATAAACAATGAAATTTATAATGTGATTAAAGTATATAATTATATTTTCTAAAATAAAAATGACAAATAATGTGGGATTCACGAAACTATAAATAGTGGACATAAAAAATGGAACGGAGAGAATATTAGGTTTCACTGTATATATATATATATTGTTTGTTCTATATTTAATAGATCAAATACAAAACATAAATAAACAACACATAATATAGTCAAATATTGTACAATCTAAAAAAAATATATTGTACAATCTGAATTTGATTTTACCTTAGGGTTTGTTTGTTTGAAGAATTTTACCAAAATCCTACTATTCATCCAAAAATTTTTCCCAAAAAATATCAAATCAAACACCTATTTTTCATTTTTTATATTATACTAAAAATAAATTTTACATTCAAAACATCACATCATACAACTATTCAAATTCAAAATTTTTACTATTCAAATCCCAACTCAAAATCCAAACCCCCAAACAAACCCACCCAAACCCCCAAACAAACACACTATCCAATACAGAAATTTTCATTCAGCACCATAATCCATCCATAAATTTTATCATTTTTAATAGGCTTCATTTCGATAAAATATATATTACTCCCTCCGTTCACTTACAGTGTTTAAATATTTCTATTTTGGGACGTGCAATTACAAAGTTAACATTTCATTAAATACCCTACTTTTTTCCACAAATATCCTTACTTTACATCACATCGTTATTTTTACAAAAAAAAATTAAAGGCAAAAATATTATTACACTACTTTTAACTACTCACTATAATTAAAATACTATTATTTCTTAAATACTGTGTCAAAAGTAAATGTCAACCTTTTAAGTAGACGGAGGGAGTATTATTTTATTTACTAAATATTAGAAAAAATTATATATATATTTTTACAAGGAGAAAACATATCCTAAACATTAAAAGATCACCGTGTGTTTGTCGGGGGGTTTGAATTTTGTGCTGAGATTTGAATAGTAAAAATTTTGAATTTGAAAAGTTATATGATGTGATATAAATAGGTATTGATGTGATATTTTGAATGTAAAATTGATTTTTAGTATAATATAAAAAATAAAAAATAGGTGTTTGATTTGATATTTTTTAGGGCAAAAAATGGGATAAATAGTAGATTTAAAATCCAATCCCCCGAACAAACACCCGTTACCCTTTAATTAATGATTTTAATCAAAAAATAAAATGATCTTTACATTATTTTTTGAAACTTTGTATTGTTTTAATTATATTTTAGAGCAAACTATACATTCAATACCCATAATTTTTATATAGATTCAGAGTGTGTTTGTTTAATATTTTAGTTTGATATTTTATTTTACATATTTTTTTTATCTCATATAAAATATATATTTTTTTTTTCATCTGTTCATTTCATATAATTTATTTTTTATTTTTAAATATGATTATATATTTTAAAATTTATAATTTATATTTTTTAATCTTAATTAAACTAATTATTTTAATATTAATATATAATTATTTTTATTATATAATAATTTTTCTATTAATATATTTTTAACTATTTACTAATTATATTTTATCTAAAATTTTTATATTTACAGCAACGAAGACAAAAGAACTATAGCGGAGGGAGTATTAATATTATATATATGAAAGTGTATCGATAATATAACAAATGTTAATTTCGTCCTCCAACAATATATACATTTGACTTTTATGTAGATATTATAAAATAATAATATTTAAGTGGTAGTTTCTTGCATTTTTATGTAAATATTATAATAGGCAAGTTCGCCAAAGCCTATCATCAAATTTGATCATTGACGTAAACAAATGTAAATTTGAAAATATATAGTGTAATTAAATTAATTAAAAAGAAAAATATATACTTCTTACGTCCCATAACAAAGTATTCATTTCTTTTTTTTTTTTTTAATAATTGTACCATCTACCTAACATTACAAATACTCTTTCAATTTACAATATATTACACAAATGTCATTATCTTTATATCATACAATACTAATAGGAGTAATTTAGTCTTTTTACATTTATTTCTACTTTATCCCAATATAATACTAATATTTCTAAAACTCCGTATAAAAAGCAAATAAATATATAGATATAAAACAAATAGAGTACTTTTAAGAAAATACAAAAAAATGACAAAATATATACATTGCAAAGGAGACAGAGCAAGTAATATTAATGTTAAACTGTTAATTTATTTTTAATATTTAACTAAAGATTGAACTTAAACGCATGGATCGTTTAGTATGATTTACTTTATTGCGTATTTGAAAGCTATTTCAGTCGAAATTTATTTAGGGTGTGTTTGTTTGGGGGATTGGATTTAATTTTTACTATTCATCCAAATTTTTTCCCCAAAAACATCAAATCAAACACCTATTTTTTATTTTTTATATTATACTAAAAATCAATTTTACATTCAAAATATCACATCAATACCTATTTATATCACATCATACAACTATTCAAATTTAAAATTTTTACTATTCAAATCCCAATTCAAAATCCAAACCCCCAAACAAACACACCCTAGAATACACTTGAAGAATAATGATCGTAAATTCTCATGTCATAAAATAATTTTAAACATACTTACACTCAATAAATAGAATAAAGGAAAACAAAATGACATGATAGAGATAAACGGTTGCGACTAGCCATAATTAGAGGTAGGCAGAAAATCCGAATTATTGTTTAATCGAGCAATTTGAGTTCAAATACAAATATTATAAATTTAATATTTGTTCGGTTCGATTCAAATTTGAATTTTAATATTTTTCGGTTAATTGTATCGAATATATTTATATTATTATTAAGTATTTTTTAAAATATGTATTAATAATTATATTATCTTCCTGCTTGAAATATTTGTAAATATTTTTAGTTATGTGGAATTTTTGTTATTTTAATGTATTTATTTTTAAATTTGATTATGTTTAAATTATTTGTAATTGCTGTAAATATTTTCGATTCGAATATGTTTCACGGTTTCAGGTATTTCTTTGATTCAATTTGAATACCAAATACCTAAATATTTACAAATAACCTAACCATACTAGGTTGATGTTTATGAGAGTTTGATTGTTTGGTTTGATAATTGCATATTATTTTCTATTTGGATTTGTTTTTATGCGTTAAAATCATATAATCATTTCATATATATTATCTCAGATGTTATTTCATTCCGTCAATTTTCAACTGCCTTTGAACTAAAGAATAATTACGTGAATTAAAATACACATAAACACTTAGATTATCAAATAAAAATTTCATATAAGATAGGTTATTTGACACTGAATACCGGTGTGATTTAATAAAATAATAATAATAATAATAATCCAAATAATCCAAATCAATTGTTTTTTTTTTTTTTTTACATTGTCCCAATTATTTAGTGAGTAGATAATTGGATAGTTGGTAAATTCATTAAAAGAAATCATATTAGTGGTATATTTGGTATAGGAAAATAAGAGTAGAAAAATAAAAATATATTTATTTTCTTATTTATTTGTCTCACAAAAATCAAATTTGAAAAATATATTTAGTTTGTTTGATTGTGGTTTAAAATTGATTTGAAATGAAATGTTGATTTAAGTTTTGTTTAAATACTATTTTGATGTGATGTTTTGTGAGAAAAAATAATATATTTTTTTTAAAAATTGCGTCAAATATTTTAGTTTAAAATGATAAAAAAATAAACTTACTATTTTTATTTTTATTTTTTTATATGTAAGCAAAATGAAGAGAAATGATTGCAGTGTTTGTTTGTTTGTTAATTCTTTTTAATACTATTTACTACTTTTTATATATATATATATATATAATTACAATATTCCAAATTTATAAAATATGAAATTTAATATATTATTTAAATATTTAATTTTTCTGCCATTTTTTAATTCACATGATTAATCTAATTTTACAAAATACAATAATTATCAAAAATAATTTCATGATTTTCATTAACTAAATTCCCTCTTATCCATTTCATCCTACTCTATTCATTCAAATAATTGTAAATTTGATTTTCTTAATTTAATTATCTGTTTCATCAAACAAAAAAATAATTCTTATTTTCTACTATTTTTGTTTGTAATTTTATTCTTTACTTTGTAATAAATACATTCTAAATACCTTTTTTTTTAAAAATAAAATATTCAAATATTTATTATTTTTAATTTTTTATTTAAAAAATAATATATTTTTATTAAAAACTAAATTTATGTTCGAAATCATAAACAAACAAACCCTAAATTTTTTTACAGTTAAAAACTTATACTCTATCTAATTGAAGGCATATCTGTAATTATTTAAATATTCTACTACATTATTAATCTGAAAAACAATAAAACGAAAAAGAAGGGTGTAAAATGTAAAAGTAGCAAGTGGGCCCCAAGTCGGAAGAATCTTCCAATAATTTGAGGGTACACCGAATCTACCCTACACCTCCGTAGCACCGTATAATAGCCCTGGAGGCTATGTTCCAACGAGCGTCGCCACGGCTTCATTATTGCAGTGGGAATTTCACCTCAGCTTCCAACCCCTCCTCCCTCAGTTTACGCCACTGTAAACAACTGATTCATTACGTGAATTTCTCGCCGGGGTATTTTTGAATTGCGGGCGGGATTTTGTGGTCGGATCGATTCGTTTTCCGACGGTGTATTTTGGGAGTTTTTTGGTTGCGATTGGGGGGCTGATTTTTGTGGTTTTGTTGTTCGGGAATCAATCGGCTTGGCTATCCAATGCGAGTTGGTTCTGGTTGAATTTCTCAAATTGCAGAGGGAGTTGGAGTGTTGGAACGCCTGATTTTGGAGATTTTCGCTCAGTTCAACGGATATGCGAAGGGTAAAACCCTAATTCCTTTTTATTTATTATTTTTTTTTGGGTACTTATTATTATTATTTTTATTTTTATTTTTTATTTTTTTATTTTTTTTATTTTTTTTATGTTTATGCGATTATGTACGGTTCTTTTCTCTATATTATTATTGAAGATAGTTTGAATGCTGTGGATTTGTTGTCTACTCTGTCATTTGTTTTTATAAAGTGATTTGGACTTGATTTTGGTTGATTGGGTGAGAATTAGAGTTTCTGGTGAAGCTGGACTATTCCTGTAATGTTTGGTATTGATTTGGAACCCGTCCGGTTTTTCTTGCCCTACATGTTTATATTTTTAGGCCTTTTTTATTGTCAAGATTCTTGCTAATAGTTGAACGGGATGAAGTTAATTGTGTTGTTTAGAGGTTAGTTTGACTCTTGATGGTATGATTATGAGGAGAAAAAATGTAGTTCATATCTTGTTGAAAATCCTTCGGGTAATGGGAAGTCATGGTGAGTTCTTTGTAAATATGCTTTGGGTTTCTAGAATCTTGTTTACTGTACCATTGATATTTATTCACGCCGGATTAATTGTTTCTGTATTAGTTAGTTATGATGAAATGACTGGATCCAAGTGTTCATTTCAAGAGGGATATACATTACACTTTCATTATTTTTATGTTGGGAAAATTGGGATCTCATGTTTTTCAGTTTTAATTCTTTCAGCAGATGTCGGAGAGATTTTTCATTACTTTGAGTTGATTATTGTGTGCTTGAATATGTGATGAGAATGTGTAAATGTGTTTTCGGCTGATAATGTTGAGGTTGAACTAGCGTTAAAACGGAATGCTTGTGAATGTGTTTCAAAAGTATACTTAGTTCTGTGTTGGTGATTGAACACAACCAGTTTCAAGAAGTGGGGCTAAGTACATGAAGGATGCGAAGCATTTCAACTTTAGACAGTCTCTGATTTCTGACGTTATATTTGCAGCTATCAGGCAAGAAACATTTTTTGAGATCATTAATGCCTGTTAAATACAACCTTATGGCCTTTATTCTTTCTTCACACAGTTCCGAGTTAGTATCTGATATTTGTTGGACGTCATTTTTCTGTCCCTAAACTTCCAAAGAAAATACCTTCATACATAGTTAATGTTTTCATTCTATTCTAAAGAGTTTGTTGATGTGGTATGGTTAGATCTAAGTTTGTCCACCAAGATGTTCTATGGCGTTCGTTTAGTGTGGTTTTTGTATCTTCTTTATTTTTCTTTTTCCCGTGACCTTCTAGTAGCCTTTTTGAACTTTTTGATGGATTGCCTGTGTGTTCGCCTTCATCCTTGCATTGTTTGTACTTTGAAAGATTTGCGTGAAGTCCTGAAAATGCAATCCAAATTAATTCTTTACAATTAAGGTACTTTGTGCTCTTTTATTTTTAAATGCTTATGATTGCAGATACAAAAATGAATAGGGAAGAGTTGGGGCATCTCATGACTGTCAGGGCAAAACCTGCAGGTCTAGTTGTTACGAGAAGCAATGGTCATTGGGATGATGGGCAATCTAAAATGGAGCCGCACGTTGGTTTAGAGTTCGACTCTGCTGAAGAAGCGCAGGAGTTTTACAGCACTTATGCAACGCAAGTGGGGTTCAAAATTCGAATTGGGCAGCTGTATAGATCCAGAGTTGACGGTTCTGTAATTTCCCGGCGATTTGTCTGTTCAAAAGAAGGGTTTCAGACGAATTCAAGAACTGGCTGTCCAGCTTTCATAAGAGTACAGAAATCCGAGTCTGGGAAATGGGTTTTAGCCAATATTAAAAAGGAACACAATCACGAGTTTGAATCCTCTGGAGAGATTTGCCCACCTAGGGTACAGAGGAAAAGTTTTCCAACACCGAAACCATCATCGGGTGGGGCTAGTCGGACAGGAATCAGATCACACGAAGATGATAGCTTGGCTGGTGTTGTTGATATGAAACGCCTCAAAAAGGAAGAAATGGATGGAGTAGTTGGACCCGTAGGCGAACCTTATAAAGGACTTGAGTTTAGTTCTGCCAATGACGCATACAAGTTTTACTACACGTACGCAGCCAGTACAGGGTTCAGAATCAGGATAGGGCAGTTGTTTCGTTCTAAACACGATGGATCAATTACATCTCGAAGATTTGTGTGCTCCAAGGAAGGTCATCAGCACCCTTCAAGGGTCGGCTGTGGAGCATATATGAGAATACAAAGACAAGAATCAGGGAGATGGGTGATTGATCGTCTTCAAAAGGAGCATAATCATGAGTTTGAAGCATCAATCGATCCTTGCAGAACTGTTCCTGATTTGTCAAAAGTTTATAGAGAGGAAGGGAGCAGTGTGCTGGAAAATCTGGATTTGGTCGAAACCAATGGCGGCCTCAGCCTGGTCAAGCGAGTCCGTGAAAGTAATATTGGCGGTGATTGGTACAACCTGCTGCTCGAGTACTTCCAATCTAGGCAAGCTGAAGATACAGGATTCTTTTATGGAGTGGAAATGCGCGATGGAAAAGGAATGAACATGTTTTGGGCCGACGCACGGTCGCGGTTTTCATGCACTCAGTTTGGAGATACCGTTGTATTTGATACAGCCTACAGGAGAGGCAGTTATACCGTTCCGTTCGCTTCGTTTGTTGGGGTTAACCATCACCGACAACCCGTACTTCTTGGTTGCGCTTTGGTGGCTGACGAATCTGAAGAGTCGTTCACTTGGATATTTCAAACTTGGCTGCGGGCAATGTCCGGGCACCACCCTGTGTCCATAATAGCTGATCAAGACCAGGCCATTCAGCAGTCGATTGCTCATGTTTTTCCGGGGTCGCACCATCGCTTCTCCCCTTGGCAAATTCTTGCAAAAGAACAGGAGAACTTGGGGGCGTTATTCTCCATGGATGCGGAATTCAAATATGAGTACGAGACTTGCATTTTCCAGTGTCAGACGGCCAGCGAATTCGATTCAGCGTGGAATATGATTATGAACAAATACAACCTGAGAGAGAATGCGTGGTTTAAGGAGATGCACAGAATGCGCAAAAGTTGGGTTCCTTTGCACATTAAAGGAACCTTCTTTGCCGGCATTCCTGTCGATGGAAGCTTGAAGTCGTATTTCAATCCGATTTTAACTCCCCAAACGCCTCTCAATGAATTTATCGTGCGATACGAGAAAGCTCTGGAACAGCGCCGCGAAGAGGAGAGGAAGGAAGACTTCAACACGTACAACATGCAGGCAGCTCTGCACACGAAGGATCCGATCGAAGAACAGTGCAGAAGGCTTTACACAATAACAATGTTCAAAGTTTTTCAGAAGGAGCTGTTGGAATGCTACAGTTATGTCGGGATAAAGTTGAACGGAGAAGGAGCCATTAGTAGGTACCTGGTGCAGAAATGCGGAAACGGCGACGAGAGGAACACCATAGCCTTTAACGCCTCGAATCTGAACATCAGCTGTAGCTGCAAAATGTTCGAGTTCGAAGGCGTTCTCTGCAGGCATGCCTTGAAAGTGTTCCAAATAATGAACATACAGGAGCTCCCGTCTCGCTACATCTTGCATCGCTGGACCAGAAACGCCAAATACGGCATACTCAGAGACACGGATTCCGCAGGCGGCGCCGGCCAAGACTTTAAGGCCTTAATGATGTGGAGTTTGAGAGAAGAAGCGCGGAATTACATCGAAGCTGGCGCAGCATCTTTCGAAAGGTACAAGCTCGCCTTTGAGATTATGCAGGAGGGCAGAAGGAATCTCTGCTGGCAAAACTAGTACCCGACCTAAAAAATTGCACGAAGAGGTAAATTTTCCTTTCGAATCGTTATCCCGATTTTAGATATCCTTGCATTGACTATATTTTTCTGGTTTTGGCCGTGTAATTAATAGTGTACGTAACCGTTGCATGAGGAATCTCTGCTGGCAAAACTAGAAAGCGACCTCGAAAACTCACCAGGAGGTAAATTTTCCTTTCGAATTGTTATCCTGATTTTAAATATCTTTGCATTGACTTTATTTTGCTGGTTTTGGCCGTGTAATTAAATAGTGTACGTTAACCGTTGCCTGAGTCTTGCCCCTGAATTGTAGTTGATGTGGTAACTTTTTCATTCGACTGTCTGTTTAATATGTCAATCAAGCTGCCCCGCCTCTGAAAATTTGTTAGTTTGCTAAGCTTCTGTGTTCTATTGTGCTCATACATGCGAAGAAAATGCCGTTTAATTATTCCTATGAACACTAACACTTGGTACACTGCACTTGTGAACAATTTTTGCTCGATTTTGTTGGTTCAAGTTTCTGGTTTTTTTAGATTATGGGATTGGAATTTGGTTTTATCATCTTGTTATCTTATCGTTCCTTGACGCTACTTTCTAGCTTGAATATTGTTGAATTCTATGTGCTGGAAGTTTTATGGATCTTATTGATGTAGTGTAGTTTGTTTTGAATCGTGTTCGATCTTTTGCTTCGGACATCGGGTTGAACAAAGTGTGTTTGTTTAGTTTTTATAGTTTTAGGTATTTTTGTTAGATGATCGTTAAAGTATTATTGGAAATTATTATTATTATTATTACTTCGTCCTACTCTAAGGATCTCATTTACCTTTTGCGTCATTGTATTTAACATTAAAAATATCCTTATATTTGTATCTTTTTTTTTTCACAAATGTCATTGTAATAGTATCATAAGACACTAATAGAAGCATTTTCGTCATTTTCTCTTAAGTTGTACTATATTTTTATATAAATAATTAGTATTATTTATTTATTTTTGTTATGTGTATATGTAGTAGTACATTTTGGGTAATATATTTTGGTAATCCTCTGGATTGTCTAGAAAACTTGTCCTTTAATTACCACACTCAATTTTGTAGCCTCTACAAAATTGAAAAATGTCACTTAGTTTTAATGCTTCGACTATATTTTGTCGTTTTAGTTTTTATTTAACTTACAAATGTGTGTAAGAAATAAAATATATCAAAAACATTCATTCAAAAGTCTAAAATAGAGATTATTGAAATCAAATTTAAAGAAACTAGGCTTCGTTTTTAAAGTTTTTAGAAGATTTTGGAAATAAGAAGAGTTTGGATATTTGATGTAATGTTGTGAGATGAAATATGTATTTTGATGATGTTTTAGTTTTTTTTTTTTTTTAAAAAAAGATTATTATTGATGTATAGTGTTAAAATTTCTGAAAATGTGTAACTAAGCAAAGAAAAGAAGTTTGTTCTTTGTGTGTTTGGTTTGATTTGGTATTTTTGTTTTGCAATACTCCCTACATTCCGGAATTATAGTCTTAGTTGTGTTGGACACGAGATTTAAGGAATATTGATATTATATTGATAGTGGATAAAAAGTATAGGTAAAAGACATTTTTGCCTTTACGAGTGTATTAGTGTAAAAGGCAGTGACAATTGTGTAATAATAATGAAAGAGTAAGAGCAGTTATATGGTGATATGGTTATTTATGGAAATAAGACTATTGTTTTGGGACAAACAATAATAATTAACAATACTTTGTAATGGATCGGATGGTTTCTCCTCGAACACTTTCCCGTCGGCCTAGCGATTCTTCTACTCCCTTGAGAACTCGCTAGTGCAGCCTTGCACTCGACTCCAACACACGCTAAAAGTAAGAACACTATAAGATGCCTCCGGCAAATAGAATGTTTTATTGATTCTCAAAACTGGAGCGAAGTATTAGTGAGGGCTCCTCCTCTATAGGTACTCTAACGTGGAAACACTAATTTTAGCCAGATATAGATACGCTGGGATAGTTAATATTTTTTTGAAAAAAATAACTCAGAAGAAAATGTAATCTAGGCGCTATATTTTACGAAAGAAAATAAAAGTGTATTTTTATAATTTTATTTTTTGAGAAAAATGTATAATTTAAATAGTAAAATTTTGGATTGAAAATAGTTTCCACAAATATTTGTTGTATTATTACCATAGGAGCAAGTTTACGCTATGGTTAATCTTTTGCTAAATAATGTGTGGTAGGATTTGTTGTTTGGTTTATAAGTTTTCACAAATTAAAAAAAATAAAAAAATAAATTATTATTATTATTATTATTTTCTTCTGAAATATAATTATTTTACTTGGAAAAAGACAAATCAAACTAATACAAATTTAGCTTAATATAATGTGCTGTCAATAATAATATTTTCAAATTTAGCAAAGTAATCGCCACCTTAATAATGTATTTATCCCTCTTAAAAATCGTCTTATCAAATTTCTATTTTGGTTGAAATATAAGATTATTTTACATTAAAAAGAATTCAAATCCAAAACACACCTTGGTAACTAACGAATTAAATTTGAAAAAAGGCACTCTAGTGGAACAAAACAAAGTAATTTTGAGAAGTACATGCTCGACAAGAATTTCATCGAATAACATCTTCTCAACACAACAATCAACAATATCATTCGCAGCCAGCCAAAACTAGCACAAACTATCATATTATCGATTCATTCGCCAATGCCAAAACTCAATCGACATATACGGCGTAACTTCAATGGTTAAAAATACTTACCTAAATCGCCGTAAAGATTGTCCAACTGATCACATTACTCTGCTCCAGTCGGGCCATGTCTCGTGCAAACATACACGCAATTATTATCGTTAGTTTTAAACAAAAGTCATGCACATGAATTGATGTAATTGGATGTACGTCGAATTTCAACCAACAAATAGGATTACTATCGAAATGAGGCATTGCTTGGAACTGAAAATTTGAGTTTAGCAACATGCTCAACAAGAATTCTATCAATTACCTCGACAAAATATCAAGAAACTACCAAGAAGCAATACCATATGCAACAAAAAATTGAATTTCAACCGACAAATAGAACTAGAAATCAAAACATCGCATCGAGAGGAACCAAAAATTCCATTTCACCAAAAACATGATCAACAAGAATTCAACCAATTCTCTCCACAAAAATAGCAAGAAACTACCGTCAACCAAATACCATACGCAGCAAAAATTGAACTTTAACCAACAAACAGGATTAAAATCGCAAGAAACACATCGAGTGGAACCCAAAATTCCATGCTCAACAAGACTTCTATCAATTCTCTCCACAAAAATACCATACGCCATAAATTGAACTTTAACCAACAAACAAGATTAAAATCGAAAAAACACATCGAATGGAACGAAAAATCCATTTTCACCAAAAACACGCTCACGGAGAATTCTATCGATTCTCTCGACAAAAACATCAAGAAAGTATCACGAACCAATACCATATGAAACAAAAACTGAACTTTAACCAACAAACAGGATTAAAATTGAAAAAACACATGGAGTGGAACCAAAAATTCCATTTCACCAACAACATGCTCAACAAGAATTCTATCAATTCTCTCGAAAAAAATATCGAGAAAATATCACAAACCAATACCATACGAAGCAAAAATTGAACTTTAACCAACAAACAAGATTAAAATCGAAAAAACTCATCGAGTGGAACCCAAAATTCCATTTCACCAAAAACACGCTCAACAAGAATTCTATCAATTCTCTCGACAAAAACACCAATAAACTACCACAAACCAACACCATCCGTCTCAAATATAACCTCCAAACTCAATCACCTTCATCAACTATACAACAATAACTCGAACTTTCCATCCAAAATGCCGCCTACACGACTGCATTCCTTTGCTCCACCTTCGCCTTCTCCGCATCAATAATCGACTCTAAAACACTCACGGCACCCTCCAGCTCGCCATCCCGATTAACCACGACGTAATCAAACTTCCTCAAATGCTTCAATTCCTCCCTCGCCGATGCCACTCTCATCATCAAAGCCTCGCCCGACTCCGTCCTCCGATCGATCAATCTCCGAACCAAAGCCTCCTCACTCTCCGCCACCAGAAACACAAACACTGCATTGTTCTTCAGTATCCGCCGCAGCGTCGCCGCCCCCTGAATATCGACTCTAAGCACGATATCGAAGCCTTTCGACATATAATCACGAATCTGCTGTTTAGGAATTCCCTTGTAATCTCCGTACACCATTGCGTACTCCAACAGCTCGTCTTTCTCCACCATTGCTACGAACTCATCTTTGCTCACGAAGAAGTAATCCTCGCCGTCGATCTCGCCGGACCTCTTTTCGCGGCTCGTCGCGGTTACCACGAAATGCAGATCGTCCCTAACCTCCCTCAATCTTTTGATCACTGCGTCTTTTCCAACGCCGCTCGGACCGCTGATGACGATTATCAGAGGGTTGGGGTTTGGGGCTATGGGTTGCGAGCTGAAAGTGGAGCCGAGAGCGGCCTCCAGGGCCCGAAACACCTCGGCCCGGCCCACGTAATCGGGATGGGGAATTGGTGGGCGCTGAGAGCCGTTCATTGCCGATTTCGTGGAGAATTGCGAAGCGACGGTGCGTGGATTAGCGGATGGGGATTTTCGAAACCCTAATTTCAGTGTTTTGGAATTGAAATGTCGAGAATGTGGAATTGGGAGAGGGTTTCGGGGAATTGAGAGAGGGGAAAGAGGATTCGCGCAGGGTTTCGTTACGGCGGAGCAAATCCTTCGGATTAGCATCGGATGACCGGAGATCGATCGGTGGTTTTGGATTGGACGGCGGAGTTGGGGCGAGAGACGGCGGCGTTCTTTCTCTCTTTTGTATTTGAAAATTCGGTAAATTATATAACAACAGCCATCAAAATGCATTTATGTTTTATTTATTGACCAAAACACTTTGTGTTAACTTAAAGTTGGCATAAAATATATATATATATATTTGTCCAATATTGATATTTAGTTTTAAATAAATACTTAAATTAAGCTTTTATCGATCATTACGTGATTTTTATAAAAACTATAAAATGAAAGACTAAATAATTATTTATTTATCTATTTTTTTCAAAAAAATATTTAAAATATTTTATATTTTTTATTTGTATAAAACTTGCATAATTTAAGTATTTATTTAGAACCAAATATTAAAGAGAATATTTCATGCAAACTTTATATTAACACAAGAATTTCACGCAATAAATAAAAGATAAAATATTTTATGTATTTTTACTAAAAACACAAATGAGTGTTATGTCTTTGTGAAATTGTTGAAGGAATTCTTTTTTAAACATGAAATATAAAAATTTATATAAATAATAGTACTATAACAAATAATATATATATTTTTTAAAAAAGATATAAATTATTTCTTTTTTAAAAAAGAACACACTTTTGGTTTGTTCATTTTACTTCATTATTATTAGTATTATTTTTAAAAATGACTTCCATAGATATTGTTCAAAAAAATATAACATACGTACATTAGTTTACTTGGCAAGACCATAAGGCATTTTAAACAACATGACATAAAAAATACCAACAACATGACATAAAAAATACAATTTCAATTTTGATATTGATTGAGTTAGATTAATATAGTGCTAATTTGATTCGCTAGTACAAATATTTAAAGTAAATAATATTTTTTTCGTCCCACTTAAATTGTCCATTTTAACTTAGACACAAAGTTTTCGGTATTGAGTAATTAGTAAGTAATTAAAATGTGTATTAATAAAAATAATTATAATTTAATAAAAATAATTATAGATTAATATGAAGATGATTAAATAGTTTACTTAAAATAAAAATAATTATAGATTAAGATTAAAATGATTAAATATTTAACTTAAAATAAAAAAATTATAAATTATGAATTTTAAAATATGATTAAAGTGTATAATTATATTTTCAGAAAAGGAAGAACAAATTAAATGAGACAGACATAAAATAAAAATAGTGGACAAATTAAGTGGAACGGAGGGAGTACATGATATATAATACACAACACAAATCCTGATAATAGCGACTATAACATTGAATTTAAAATTCAGGTTGAACAACACGTAAGGTGCGAATAAACAACACACAATACTATTATGATAACAAATAATTTATATATAATATAAATATATCAAATGAACTATCAACACATGCAATAATTGATTTTAACAAACGACGTACTCTTATTCCAACATACATTGTAATTGTAAAAAAAACAACACATACATTGAATAAAGACATATGTTGTTTCTATATTTTAGATTTAAAAAAATCAGCACCGTAACACTCTCCATGACAATACATGATAAGCAAAATATAATACAATATACTACTGATTTTTAACATAATGAACATATGTATACAAAACAACACAATAAATAAAACAACACAAGCTTCTATATAACACTATTGTGATGTCTAAGTTGTGGTTGGATGTTGATTGTTTGAGGTTAGTACGTTGACTTTATTAAATCAGCACCCTAACTGTCATCCAAAAAGTACTCAATTGTTGCCAAATTTACTTAATTTTTTTTTTTTTTTCATATGTTAAATTTATTTCATTATAATTTGATTTCTATACGTGTTTCCATAGCTATTTATAGGAGGAATAGTACTGAAGGTCTGGTCAATATTGTACCACAACACTTAGGAGTGAGCAAAGAAATCAAACCGAACCGCTGAACCGAACTGAACCGAATCAAATTTTTGATTAACTGAGCAAATTCAGTTCGAATACAAATACTGCAAATTTGATATTTGTTCGGTTCGGTTCGGCTTCGGTTTTTTATATTTTTCGGTTCGGTTAATATATTTATATATTTATGTTATTATATTTTAAAATTTATATTAATAATTATATTCGGTTCAATTTCGGTTCGAACTTTTGAAATATTCGCAAATATTTTGATTTAATTAGAATTTTAAGATACTATTTTTAAATTTCGGTTCGGTTCAAATTGTTTGCAAATATTTTCGGTTAACCGAAATTTTCGATTTGAATACAGTCCACGATTTCAGGTATTTGTTCGATTCAATTCGAATATCAAATACCTGTATATTTATAAATATCCGAACTGTGCCCGACCCTATCAACACTAATATATATTAGCTACGTAGCAACTACATAGTCGATTGCAACAAGCATCCATGTATCCTACTCGTAGGCATTGAGTATGAGTGACGTATCACAGCAAGTCTTATATTTTTATTTTTGTTTAATATTTCATCTCATATAATTTCTTTACATCAATAATATTTCATATTGATTTTTTTAAAATATAAAAATAAAAAAGCTAAGAATATTTTTGTCTTTTCAAGCAACAAATGCAATAGTCGACCCATACAACAATTGTTAATAAAATTCGCGTGTTATTTCATCTTCCCATCCAATCTCCCCTTTATTTCAACATCGTAATTTTTTTTTACATGTTTTTTCCTTACAACTTATAAAACACATTTTTCCCTTTTTCCCGATACGATGTTATTTCAAGTATTTAATGAACCAATTCAACATATCCGTGTGCGCCTCGGCCGCGCTCTTCACAGCTGGTTCGTCCGTATCGTTGTATTTCAATGTCCATCCGTGCTTAACATTCGGATACACCTTCACAAAGTTCTCCACCTACAAAACAAAAAATGGTCGGTAAGTTAGCGCAGTCTTTGAATCTTTTTTATTTGTACATAGTCTGAAATATCCGCACAATTTTATTTTATTTTTAAAGAAATATGTTGTTTCTATTAGTTTTAATTTTAAACATATCACCAAATAAATAATTTGTGAGAAAAAATAATGTACTATTTAATAAAAATTTAAAAAATACAAATAAAGAAATTATATAAAAAAAAATCAAATAGAACTCTAAATGTATAGTAAAACCACTCTATGAAACCCAAAATTATTTTTACGAGTTTCCAATCAAAAAAATAAAAGGTGCCAATCAAGTTGAATTGAGTCGAGCTTTATGTTTTTCCAAATCACCTAAAGCTATTAGTTAACCAAAGGTCGAGTTTTTTTACAACTAAATTCTAAAATTCGATCAATCTTTTCTCTTAATAAATAGATTTTTGCCTCGACTTTGTTCAAGAAAAATAATCTCATTGAGCCATTTCAAGAAAACTGTTTATTCAATTAAATGGAGACTACTCAATTCGACTATTAATCATAACATATATATATACATATAAAGTTTTATTTTGACCTCATCGAACTTCTAAGTAGCTCAAATTTATTAGAAGCACGTAACTTTCTAACTAAAAGTAATTATAATACATGAGTAAGACTTAGGTTTCTTACCCCATTCGCCTTCAATATATCTTCGTATTGTTTTAAGAGCGCTGGCGACGCTGTTTTGTCCAACTCACCTCCAAGAATAGCAAGTGGAACTCGAATTTCTGCCATATATATATATATATATCCGAGTGAAATTCAACCATCATTGATCAACGACCAAGATTCTATTAACTCTGGAAAAGAAGAGCAAAAAAACACAACAAAAATCGTACTCTGAATATCTTCAGGACTTGTATACGTCGGATGCAGCAACACCCCGACTTTAACAAACTCTAAGTTATTTAGTAGGTCCACAGCAACCTTGCCTATAATAAAAAACCGATTCATATGTCAAACAAACGAAATCTTACAATATATATATATATCGAGCTAATTATGGTGTTGACTACGACTAATCACACCACAACCAACACATTGTAATGATATACACAACACATGATTTTTGTTGAAACAATATATGTCGTCACATGTTAACATATGATATGTGCTGAGAAACTTGAGATCAATGATAAAATATGTTATGTAGACTATTGTCATGAGTTGATAGTTCATACATTGCATTGTACTCTTTCTGTCCCAACTTAAAGTACATTTTTTTTATCATTTTTGTCTGTTGCACTAAAAAATTTCATTTTTTTTTATTTTAGTAAAAGTAAACATACATTAATACCAAAATATCCTTCATTTTTACCTCAATTATAAATATACTATTATACATACAATTATTTTATACATTCAAAACCTCTTACACATTTTCACTAACCAATAAAATACTATTGTTTCTTAATTTACTACAAACTCCAAAAAAATACTTTAGAGTGAGATTCAGGAAGTATTAAATTAATATAATATGTGTGTTGTACTAACATGTGATATATAGTGATATTAGTAGTAGCATGCATTGTATGTACTATTGTCATGTACCATCAATTCATATATTGTATTTGTATGATATTATCATTAATTATGTATTATTTGCCTATTTATTATATATGTATTATCTATGTATATTTGATGTGTTGTCAATAAAATGCTGAATGTACCATAACTTCTGTCTCTCTATCTATATATATATATATATATATATATATACTCATAAGACAGTCGTCGAATAAAGAACTAACCTCCCCAACAAAAGCCGGCAGCTCCGAACCTTTTTACGCCTTTCCTTTTTATTGCATCAAAAAAAGGTCCGACATGTTTATGAACTTCTTCCTACGGAACGAACACATAACCGGGAATGATTAATGTAACAGTTGATTAACTCCAAACTAGGAAAATCGAAAAACTCACAGGTCGATGCCTAATTAGCCACTCTGTCTGATTATTCCCAACTACGAAAGGATCGCCATTCATGAAATCTGGAACAACCGCGTAAAATCCAGCACCAGCAACCTTATCGGCGATCATTCTTTAAACATGTATGGTATAATTAGGCAAAATTCAACGACAATACTGGTATAATATTACTCAACTCTCGAGCAAATAACAAAGCTATGTAATGTGCAGATTTAGGAGAGAGAGAGAGATAAGCTACCTCAAGTGAGGAGTTCCAAAACCTGCGCGACATCGAAAATAGGCATAATTAGATACATTTTAAGGGCGAGTTCCGAATTTAAACATTTTAGCTTTTTTAGTTTGGTTTCATTAATAATTTTGCCAAAAAAAAAGAAAGAAAAAAGGTCCCTTTAAGCCAAAAATAAACTTTGGAAGTCATTTCTCGATGTGTCGGGAAACATTTTATTAAATTTTCTTAACAACACATCTTCAAAATTTCGTTAAGAAGAATTTCCGGACAAACTAAAAGTTTTGTCCGCAATTCATGAATATTTGAAACTTATATATTGCTCTTATTATTAGAAACTTTTAGAACTTTTAACCCTATTCTCATAACATCATACTAAATACATAACTTTTTATTTTAAAATTTTACAGAATTTCATTACATTCAAAACTTCCAGAGCTATAATTTCTTCTCACCAAATAAAAAATATCGAAGAATATAAAGCAAGAAAAAGGCCTAATAAAGTTACAATTTCCCTTCTAACTTTTCCCGATTTTTCTTTAAAAATAGATTATAAAAGAAATGAGTTCATCAAGCATATTACTTGCACTAGATTCACACATACAACTGCGAAGGCAAAGAAACCATACCGTAAACATCTGATATCAGTATGATAGAAGCATCACAATGACTCGAGCCACTGACAACGTAGGACTTAACTCCTCCAAGTTTTCTCACTCTCCCGACTATGCTGTTTGCATCTTTATTCAAAGAATTCTCAATGAGCTCATCATGAATCGACACGGCTGTACAGAACAATTATTCCAAAAAAGCTTTTAGATACAGTTCAATTCAGTAATGTCGAATGCTTCTAACTCCTAAAAGAGGCTTTCGAAAATCGTATACTCAGTTACATTTTGTAGATCAGTTTCCTTCTTTATACCATAAATAAAAATTTAACACCGGAATACTCGAGAGCTAAGTACAACATGCGCGAATAATTATATGGAGAGCTTTAGATCATATTCCTCACCAAAATTGCACGGTCGATTTTTCATAAATTTTCACATTCTAAAATTTATCATATACAAGAAACTTTCAAAACTTTTGATATTATTATTAATGAATAGTAATATTTTTATTTTTTTACAAATATTACATTAAATACTCAATCATACTAGTTCTAAAACTTCAAGAACTTAGTAATTTTCCCTTCAAAGAGATTGAAGTAGTGAATCTATCGGAATCTCAAAGGTTTTTTTTTTTTTTTCGTAAGAACCTGTTTACTGGGATAATTGTGAAACTTTTAACACTATATTCAATATTTACAAAATATTAGATTAAATAATAGTAATTATTTCATTTTCTTTTAGCAATTATGAATTCACACTTTTTTTTTTTTTTTTTTTATAAATTCTCTTTATATTATTTCTTAAATTTTGCATAGTTTTAAACCATGGAGTATTAAATTAATAATCAAATTTTATCATTTCTAAGTTTTTTCAATAATAATAAAAAAAAAACAAAAAAAAAAAAAACTTCAAACTCTTTGGCTCTATCTATTTATGGGCACCAAACTAACCTTTACTAATCACTGACCCTTATTCGAAGATATCAAATAAATTTTTAATTTTTTATTAAATTGAAAATTATTTTTATTTAAAATTATCATATCAAATAATAATTTAAATAAAATTTTACTACCATAATCGGAAATATTCAAAATGGGGAAAAGAATCACAGACAAAATTGCTCCAAAACCTAATAAATGAATCGACTTCAAACCCGAAGCTCAAACCTAAATTAAAAACCCCCAAATTACAGTGAACAGTAAAAGCGCGAATGTAAATTCTGGCAATCGATCGATGCGCGCAACATCCTCAAATTAAAAATCCCCAAATGTGAGCGAAGTTAAATAAATCAGCAGAAATCTAACTGAAATCGAAAAGAGTAATACCTGAAATCACGAAAGCAGCAGCAGCAGCAAAGGCGACGAGCAGCAGCAGCAGCAGCTTGTTCTGGTTCGCCATGGTCGTCGTCGTGAAATCTGAAAACACTCAGAAAAAGTGGGGATTTATTGATTATTATATATAATAAAAAAAATGAATGAGCGGCGGCGCCATTTCCGCAGCGTGAACGAGCAGAGACATTACAACTTCAATCATCATTCAATATTCAATTCAATAGGAGATTGATTAATTAATTAATTAATTTATTTATTGGGCAGTATGTACGTGAGAATCGATTACATTTATTGAATGGCAATAGTTGCTGATGCAACCTGCAACCTGCAACCTTGACCTCGTTGATAAACAGAGTCTAAGATCATATCCACCTCATTACTTGATTTTTTATTTTTGCATAAGTTATAATTTTATTTTAATCATAAACTTTAAATTTTCATAAATATATTTTCTATATATTATTTTTTTATATTATTTTATATAATTTTTTATATTTATAAATTACACTTCAACTTTAATTTATTTTTACAATATAACCTAAATATATATAATTACACATTATTTTTAAAAAATTATATAATTATATATCACTTTTCGAAAGATAAAATTATATATCACTTTAAAAAAATAAAATTATACAGTATTTTTAAAAAATAAAATTATGTCACTTTCCAAAAAATAAAATTATACATAATTTTTCAAAAAAATAAAATTACATACTCCCTCCGTCCCGGAACTAAATATTCATTTATTTTTTGCACGTAGTTTTAAAAATATTAGTATTATATTGGAATACAGTAGGAATAAAGTATAAATGACTAAAATAACCTTATTAGTATGTGTGATATAAAGGTAATAGCATTTGTGTAATATATTGTAAGTTGTAAGAGTATTTGTAATGTTAGGTAGATAGTACAGTTACTAAAAAAGAGAATGGATACTTTGTTACGGGACGTACTAAAATAAAAAAATGGATACTTTGTTATGGGACAGACTAAAATGAAAAAATAAATACTTTTGTTATGGGACGGAGGGAATATCATTTTCTAAAAAATAAAATTACACAATATATCCAAAAAAATAACAAAAATACACAAACACAATGGAGTGGAGTATACAATATTACTCCAAATATAGAGTAACACTGTAGCGAGCTGCAAAAATGCAAAAATGGAGGGAATTTGGGGGTGGGTTGGAGCCCCTTCCCCCAATTTTCGCACAACCCACGGAATAAATGCAGTGGGTTGGAGTTGCCATAATAAACTATACAAAACTTATCTATAAATTTTGTTGGAATTCTCATTATTTTTAAAATTGCATCAAATTCTTTGGTGATTTTATAAATTCTATACGTAACTTCCATTATTTGAGGGTGTTTGAGCAACACACCGTGGGAATGATCAATTTTAGAATTTATATTTTAAAATCTTTAATATTACAAATATATTTATTATCTTTAATTTCAAATAATAGTAAAAAAATAAAATCTGTTAAGACAATTATTTTTGAATATATTTACTATTTTTCAAGATAAATTTAAAAATAATGATTGTATTTGTAATTTAAAATTTTAGAAATAAAATTCTTAAATTCATTTACAGTTTGGGCTTATACAATTCAAACACCGTTGAAAAATGATGACCGAGGAATTAGACGCAAAGTTTGAATTTATGAAATCATGAAAAAATCTTTACATAATTTTGGAATTACGAGATATTTCATGCAACTTTGTGAAAATACATGTGTGCTTTTGTCTAAAGACTACAACGGCATGTTTGTTTGGATTATATATTGATGTGTTTCTATTGTCAAGTTTGTAAATTTGATTCGATTCAGCTCAATTTAAGTTTATTTACGAACGTAAACAAGTCAAGGCAAACAACATATGTAGGCTCGTTGCGTTAGTGAACGAGTCTGAGCCTTGTTCGCAAATGTTTGTTAAAAAATAAATACATAAATAAATTATATATATATATATATATGAATGAAAAAAGAAATACTCTTCCGTCCCAAAACTATGGTCTTATTTGGGTTGAATACGATATTTAAGGAATATTGATATTATATTGATAGTTGGTAAAAAGTATGAGTAAAAGACTTTTTTGCCCTTGTGAGTGTATTAATGTAAAAAGTAGTGGCATTTGTGTAATAATAATAAAAATGTAGGGATAATTTGATAGTGAGATGAGCATTTATGAAAATGAGACTATTGTTTTAGGATGGATAAAAATAATAAACAAAGACTATTGTATTGTGACGGAGAAAGTATATAAATAAAATATTAAATATATGAATTTAAAAATAAAAAATATCATGCTACACAAGTTCAAACAAGTTCAAACGAACTTATTCAATTGAATAAGAACTCAGAATAACAAAAGTTCTTAAGAAACCAACCTCGAACAATACGAAGAAGCTCGAATGCTTAATGAACGAGTACATACACTTAAAATTCTATTCGAATCGGTTTGTCAACAACTTTAGTTTTAATGCTCTTGATCCATAATGCAGGCAGGACGGAGACGGAGATATCTATTTTTAAATTTTTTTACTATGTTCCGGAGGTCCGATAAAATTAAATAAATAAAATAGTGATAAAATATTATTATTTTTTAATATAATTATAAATTATAAAATTATAAATTACAAAATTGTTTATTATAAATGAATTATAAAAATAAAAAAATAGTGATATACTCATTTTGATCCTTAACAATCTTTTTTTTTTTTTTTAGTAATTGTACTATCTACTTAACATTATAAATACCTTTCCAATTTACAATATATTGCACAAATGTCATTACATTTATATCATACAATACTAATAGGGGTAATTTAGTCTTTTACCTTTATTTCTACTTTATTTCAATATAATACTAATATTTCTAAAACTCCGTGAAAAGACAACTGAATATATAGATATGAGACGGAGAGAATAATTTTTAAAATTTTAGTGATTGATTTAGATTTAGAGTGTGTTTCTTTTGATTTTATTTGAAAAAACTTGATTTGAATTTTATACTCATGGGGTGTATTCAATTGAGATTTTAATGAATTTTTTTTGGATTTTAAAAAGTCTATGAATTTATGTGGATTTAGAAAATCCACAGAGTCTACGTCGAGTTTGATAGATTTTAGTAATTGATTTAGATGGATTTCTGACGGATTTGATTGAATTATTTATGAATTTATATGAATTTTGTAGGATTGTAAAATAATTTTTTTAATATATATTAATTATATAAATTTATATCAAACAACAAATCTTATAAATATAATAAATAATTATTAATAAGATAATATTTAATATTAATAAATAATATATAAGTATAAATAAATAATATATATCTATTTACTTTTTATGTAAAAATGTTATATTAAAATAAATAAATAAATAATATACGATTTTTGAAAAAAATATTAAAATAAATAAATAAATAAATAAAAATTAATGGTTCAACAAAAAATATATATTTAAATATCTATTTCACTATTATCGTAATGATAATATAGTGTATTCGATAATTGAAAAGAAAAGACGACAATATTATAATAATATTTTTTTTAAAATTATATTTATAATATAAAAATATATATTAAAGAAATCATAATAATTTGCTAATATATTTTAGTTTTAAATTATTATTTTTATTAATTTAATAATAGTAATAAATATTATCATATTATTGATCACATACAACAACAACAACAAGAACAATAATAATAATAATAATAATAATAATAATAATAATTTTAAGAATCCATCGAAATCTGTGATGGTAAGGAGAGATTCTTTTCTATACAAAATTTTCACAAAAATCCATTAGAATTCATTAAAATCCATAGACTTTCAAAGTTGAATATCTCAAGATTTTAAAAGACTTTTAAAAGTCCACATTGAATACATCAAGATTTTAAAAGACTTTTATAAGTTTGGATTGAATACACCCAAATTTTGAAAGTCCAACAAAATCCTACAAAATCTATATTGAATACACCCCCTAAAATAAGATTTGATAAAATGTTTGTGAGAGAAAATATATATATATATTTCGAAAAATATAAAGTTCAAATTGTAAAATTTAAAAGTTTGATGCAAAAAATTAAAATTTTGAATAATTAAACACCACTATTAATTGAAGAAAAAAAAATGGTACTCCAATACAATAATAGTATTGTTTACTATTTTTGTTCGTTACAAAACAATAATTTCATTTCCATAAATAATCATATTATTATAAAACTACCTTTATTCTTTCATTATTATTACACAATTGCCACTATTTTTTACATTTATAAGGGCAAAAAAATTTTTTACATGTACTTTTTACCCATTAGCAATATAATATCAATATTTCTTAAATTTCGTGTCAAACACAACCAACCAGACTATAGTTTTGAACAAGAAGGAGTATTATTTTTAGCTTAATTGTTCAAATATGCTTTTTTCATATAAGCATATGAAACCGAAGATTTTGATACTATTAAATTTTTATAATTTTAGTTTTTAGAATTTTAGTATTTTAATGGTTAGTAAGAATGTGTAACAAATTTGACAATTTTTTCCTTTAACTTTATTAATAAATTAATTGTATTTTTAACGGTATATTTATCATTTATTAAAAAATTAAAAGTATTTTAATATTAATATGTTATTATGTTTACTGGAAATAAGAAAAAAATATATTGTATAGTTCCTGCGCTACATGCTATACTTGACTTTAATAATAATATATACATATATTCAACATACCCACATATTGAACTGAGGTCTACAATTTTGATTTGTTCAAATGTAATACCTGAGTTAGATTGATGCTAAGTCAATTCTCGTATATGGATGAGTCGGTGCTAGACATCAAAGAATGAATAGAAATTAAATTGATTGATGAACTACTAATGTTAATAATATGCAATTTTTTTCAGAACTATACTGAAAGAACGTGTTTGTCATATAGTAATTTGAAAATAGATAATCCCTGAAAAGTGCACGTTCTTTTCAAAAATCCTACTGAAATAACTTGTGTTCCCACCACGCCCGGCCGACATGGCTTGCGGGCTGCGAGCCGGGCATGTCACATCAAACGAGCACAATAACTATCCTCGTAGACGAAAGATAGTACTTCCTCTGTCCGCTATAGATAATTTTTTTTTTTTTTTTATTTTTTTTTATGTGCGTCTCACAAAAAATGATTTATTTATATTTATGATAAATTTATCAATGTTAACCACACTTAACAAATATAAATCAATTTAATTAAATATATAACATTGTATAAGTAGAACTCATTCAAAACGTCTTTATTTATATCTCACATCAATTAACAAATATATATATTTTTTTATCTTTAAAATTTCTTATGTTAATATAAAATTAATTTATGATAATGATAAATATATATATTTTTATTTATTTGTATTATATAAAATTTAATTATCTATAAAATGATATCGATATTGTATTTATATTATTAAAATACAGTCATTAAGATAATTAAATACACATTTTATTTTATTTTTAATCATATATATTAATTAAATAAATCACTTCTAACCAAACTTTTAATTCAAAAACTCAACTACTAACAAAATATTTGCTTACAATAGTTTTTTTTTTTTTTTTTTTTTTTTTTTTTTTTTTTTAAATTTAAAAAATGTATATCTAAACTGGAGCCAAATTTCAAAACTCATCTAAACAAACCCACATTGAAGGTTTTTTTTTTGTCAATTTTTTTTTTTAATATTTTGATTCTGGTTTTTCGGAAAATATATATATATATATATTATAAAAATTTTAATTAAATACTATTTCAATATCAAATTCAAAACAATTTTTTTCAAAAAAAAAAAAAAAAAAAGAAACACATCATAACTGCCTCACCTTAACTTGACTGTGTGATGTGGACCATGTGGTCCATATAATTACTCTTACATTATTTATTCAATTTATATTTTGTAATTGTTTAATAATGTTGAAATATTTTTCCACGAAATTAAATAAATTATATTAAATATTTATTATTTAAAGCACCAACTATGAGTTGGATCTACTATATGTTTATTTTATTTTATGCCTTTATTTTTCGTAATACAGTTTTATCGTTTCTAATAAAATATATATATGTATATATTAAATTTTATATAAAGACTTAGATTCAATCATTATTTCATCTATAAATAATAAAAAAAGAAAAAGAAAAAAAAAAGAGTATTGATGTTATATAAATAGGTGTTGATGTGATGTTATATAAATAGTTGTACGATGTTATATAAATATGTGTTAAATATGTATTGATGTGATATTTTGAATGTAAAATTGATTTTTAGTATAATATAAAAAATACAAAATAGATGTTTGATTTTTTTTGGGAGGGGAGAATTGGATAAATAGTGTAAATCCAATGCCCAGACAAACACACCCTTAAGAATATTATGATCAACTATCTTGTTTAGTCAAAGTCGCCTATTTATTTATTTGAAACGTATGTTTTGAGATGTTTCTTTGATTTATTTTGAATAAAAAATAATTTTTTACTATAATATAAATAATAAAAAATAAATATTTTTATCTTTGATTTAAAATATCCATCAACATCATTTCACCTAGAAGAAAAAATTGTTCCGTTACAAAAATATAGTCATTAATTATATATTCGCAAATGGAGTCCCAACAACACTCATTATATTTAACAAGTAATATGTTTTTGATAATAAATTATACTCCCTTTGTCCCAAAATTATAATCTGTGTTGTATTTGACACGAGATTTAAAGAATATTAATATTATATTGATAGTGGGTAAAAAGTACGGGTAAAAGACTTTTTTGTCTTTGTGAGTGTATTAGTGTAAAAAGTAGTGGCAATTATGTAATAATAATAAAATAGTAAGGATAGTTTTACATTAATATAATTATTTATGAAAATAAGTTTATTGTTTGGGATGAACAAAAATGATAAACAAAATTATTGTATTGGAACGGATGAACTATAATTATCATAAATTAATTTTGTTAAAAGATTTAATTTAGTTTTATACTGAGTATCTCATAAATATCATACTTGTGGAGAAATTATTGGTGTATTTGTTTGAAATTATATATATATACATGAGACACGAGAAACTGTATAAATAATATAAAAATAGTAAGTGTGATAATAGATTTTTTTTTTTATATTGATATTTTGGCTCAACCTGTGACCCGCGACTCGCGCCCAACCTGCAACCCAAATCTCGTAACTCGGGTTAGAATCCTATTGAACCCTACCCGACCCGTTTCGATAAAATATCCCCCTTTCCCTATTTGTTTCGATAGAAAAATCAGTTCGCATATATACATATATATTTGGTTCATTCATCCTACTCTTCATCTTCATCGTGTCAATTGTTCTCCGTGGTTTTTTTTGGGGAAAGTTTTTTTTGTTGCTAGTTAAAACCGTTCTAATTTTCCTATCCTTCCGGTGAATCATTCTTTTGCGTGATCTTTGTGAGTATTTTGGGAAATCAATCGATTAGTCGAGTTAAGTTTTTTATAAATCGAATCCGTAGGTTTGAAATTTGTTTAGAGGCGGTCTAGAATCAAAATTCGTTTGAAATAATCCTTTGTGCAAGTACAAGTATTCCGATAAATATAAAACCAAGTTCTATATAATATTAAGATATATATATATGAATATATTTATTTATTTAGTAGAAAGATAGAAATATAAAATTATAAATAAGTTCCACCTTAAAAATTATATAAGATACAAAAAAACTACAACCGAATACATCCTATAGTCTTTTTATCGAGCTCTGAACAACTGATTCTCTCTATGATAATTTATTCAAACCTATTTTTCTTCAACAAAAATATATATTTAACTATATCTATACGACTTATTTCAAGTGTTTAGCGAACCATTTTAACATGATCTTGTGAGCCTTTTCCGCTCTTCTTACAGCTCTCTTGTCCGTCTCGTTATAACCTAATGTCCAACCATGTTCGGCCTTAGGGAAGATCTTCACATAGCTATCAACCTGCGGAAAAGTAAAGAAAAAATCACCACTTTCTTTTTCATAAGATAGAAACATCTCAATTTTTCGAAATTTAATGTTATTACATTGGGCTTTGTCTCCAAAATTTTGTCAAACTCCTTTATAGTGGCCGGAGTTGTGAGGTTGTCCTTCCCGCCTCCCAAAATGGCAATCGGAGAATTAACTTCTGCAATATTTTTCATGTAAAAATTAATAGGTTAGTTATTTATGATAAATCTTATAACTTTTTCTAAAAATATTATTCAAAAAATATAATATATATAAGTAATAATAAAAGTTGAACAATAACACACTTATGATGTAAAAGATAATGCATTAATTAACTTAATATTAATCATAATAATATCTAAAACGCCCTTATAGAATGAACTATGATCGTGAGATAATGAATTTAAAAATATCTTAGATTATCGAGAATTTATCTACTACACATTCAAAAAATAGTAATTGCATACTCCATGTCCCAAAAATAAATAAATAAAATAAAAAATCTAAAATGTCTAAATTTATATAAACATTTTTTACCAAATAATTTTTTTTTTCAAATTTTATTAATACAAATATAAATAATATAATAAATAAAATAATACATTATAATATTATTTTAATATTTAAAATATTTTATTACAAATCAAAGCTAATTATTATTATTATTTTTTTATTATTATACAATCATCTTGGACTTTTATATTTGTATTTTGGGTTTGTTTGATTTTGGCCCAAACAAAAATCAATAATGTATGTATTTAATATATGTATTTATTATTATCTTTTTTTACAAAATATCATACAAAAATACCGATATAAATTAAAATTCAAATAAACTATTTTTATAGAAATGTTATAATTGTATAATAAAAATAAAAAATTGAAAAAGACAAAAGTCAAGTAAACAGAGCTTAAACTAATTAAAAATTAATTTAATGTCGGTAACAAATTTGATTAAGTGAGATTAAATTTTAAATTTAATAAATTAATTAAAAAATGCAAATTAATCGAGATAAAACTCATAATAAAACAATATATATATCTTACTTTCAATATCCGTATGATTTACGAACGAAGGATGGAGAAGGACACCCGTGTCTACCCGACTATCTTTGTTCAACACTTCTATGGCAACCTTACCTAAAACAACATTTTGATTAGAAAATTGAACAAATATTTATTATATCATAAACTATACGATAATATAATAGATAACGAACTAACCTCCCCAACAAAAGCCGGCAACTCCAAACTTTGTCACACCTTTTCTTTCGAGGCTGTCAATAATTGTCTTAACATCTTTATACTTTCCGTCCTAAGGAAATAAAATTGAGTTTTTAAATACTCCTCGATGAAATGATTATTGACAAAAACATATGTTCTTACACGGAATATTTTCTTACTACGCGAAACATTCGTATTATTTGTAAGTATATCTTTAAGATATGAGAAAATTATAATTTGGAATCTTTCAAAATTTATGATTTGTACATTGTTCATTGAAAAAAAATATATATATAATATTACATATCACGAAAATGAATTCAAAATTTTGAAAGTCTTATTCTTGTTGTCTACTTATAATTTCTAATTTATTTTCACACTATTTAACAAACATCACATCAAAATTTATTGTTTTATTTCAAATATTACTTCAAAATTTTAGTTTCTATTATAAATACTCCATCCGTCCAATTTCTGTTGTCCTAAAGTATATTTGCACAATTTTTCAGGTGATTGTCTTTTTGTTATGAAGGGACAAATTTGCCCTTAATTGTATGGTAGAGATTAAAAGTAATAAATGAATGAAGGGTAAAAATGTAAAATTTGTGTTTAAGAAAAAAAAAATAGTACAATAGTTGTTAGACGTCTCAAATAGAAAAATAGGACATTAGTTTGTGAACGAATGAATGATTAAATTGAATAGCTATTTACACCACAACAAACATCTATTTTTATTTAATTGCATACTAATATTATTTTTGAATTGTGATTTTGCAAAATTAATAATTAAAAATATAAATATTTTTTTATAAAAATTAAAATGTAAAAAAATTCAAATACTCATTGCAAAAAATTAAAAGATAAAAAGAAAAACTCCAAATACTTATACAAAATGTCATAAAAAGTCAAATATTCGATTTAAAATAATATATTTTATATTTTTTACATAATTCTTTATACCATACATCAAAAATAATTTCATCTAAAAGCCTTGGATGAACAGATTATTTATAAATATTTTATTTTAATAATAGTTAATGATATTATTTGTATGAAAAAAAAAAATTATTTTTGTCATTGTATATTATTTCGATGTAATAAAAATAAATATAAATTTGATGGTACGTGTAATAGTATATAAATAGTAATAAATACTTTGATTTATTTACTTTAGTAATCTAAAGCGTATAAAATTGAATAAAATCTCACCGTTTTATGATTCTTGTACCATTTGGTCATATTTTGATCGCTCGTATAAGCATCTCCATCGAAGAAATCCGGCACAACCGGGTAAAATCCCGCGGCAGCAACCTTATCTGCAATCATTCTGTGGAAATTGTGCAAATATTATTAATATATTTATTTTTATTAATTTTTAAATATTATATATAAAAAATATATTTTTTATTAAAACCAAATGCATATACATGATAAAATTGCAAAAATATATATATATATATCTGTATTATTTATATTTTATATGTTTCTGGAAAAAAAATAAGTTTTAGATGTATTAGACTTCAATTTATTATTGCTATCATTATTAGTTCATTTATTTTAAAGAGAGTTACCTCAAGTGGGGCCTTTCAAAACCTGCATAGCCAAAAAGATAAAAGAATCAAATCAATTAATTAAGAGTGTTGGATTTTGAGTTGGAATTTGAATAGTAAAAATTTTGAATTTGAATAATTGTATGATGTGATATAAATAGGTGTTTATGTGATGTTTTGAATGTAAAATTGATTTTTAGTATAATATAAAAAATGAAAAATAGGTGTTTGATTTGATATCTTTGGAGGAAAAAAATAGATAAATAGTGTAAATCCAATCCAATCCCCAAACAAACACACCCAAAAAGAATTTGAGCAAAGAATATACATCAAAACAAAAATTGTATTCTTTATCATACCACAAACAAAATTATAAAAATATATACGTAATGAGATTTCTAAAAAATAAAAAAAAAATTATACAAATATAAAGATATTTTTAATGTTAAGTACAATGAAATAAAAAATGAATATGACTCTTAGAGGCGAACCGAGAAAATATAACTTTTCTATTTATTTTTAGTAAAAGTAATCGTACACTAATATCAAAATTTTTTTAATTTAATTACTCCCTCCGTCCCACATACCGTGTCTGCTACACTGTAGACAAGGTATTTTAAGAGGAGTGTAATCAGTATATAATTAAGAATATATTAGTAAAAATAATTATCCTATAATATAAATAATTATAAATTAAGATTAAAATAACTAATTATTTTAATTAAAATTTTTAAAAAAATAAAATTAAAAAGTTTAAAATGAGATTAAAGTGTGTAATCATCTTTAAAAAAATAAGAAAAGTGATATGGTACATGAGACGGACAGAAACGGCAACATGTACATAGTATATGGGGACGGAGAGAGGGAATATTATTTAAAATACAAATATACCATTACTATATTATAATTTTTATAAATAAAATTAAAAGCAAATATACCAAAACTTTTACACATTTCAAAAAAAAAAGAAGATATGTATGAATATACCAAAAACGTCTGAAATGAGAATGACGACCCGACTGTTTGGACGAAAACCGCTCTTTCTCACGTAGCTTTCCAATCCTCCAATTCGTTCCTCTTCCCCTCTTTCTTCCAATTCCTTCGCCGCCGATCTGATTCCTCCTGCCAAATTATCTACAATTCATCAATTTAATTAACTATATATATCTATATATACATATAATTGTATTTCGATTTTGATTTCTAATTCGATTCCTACTTACCACTCGATCGGTTCTTCCATCGATCGATTAATAGAAAAGCTTAATAATGCAATTGAGATCTACTGTGATAAAATTAATTACCTAAGGAGGCTCCGATGCAAAGAGCGATGAAGAAGAGCAACTGCTGCTGCGTCCGTGCCGTTGCCGCCATTGTTGTTCAAAACTGCTGCTGAGCTTTCTTCTTTTCTTCTTCTTTTTGATCGGGCGTAGTATATATAGATTCTGTATCTTTTGTGAAATGGCGGTTTTGTCCCTGTAGAATATGTTCTGCGTTATATGAAATGACAGTTGTGTCCTTAGTATGCATAGGTAAGCACGGGCGTGGCGTTTTGAGAGAAAAAAATAATCTGTACGGAAATAGCAGTATAGCACGTTCTAGAAAGCAGCCTTATATTGTTATTACCCCTCTCGAACCTATGAGTATTTCTATCAAATTTTTTTTATTCATCAATTTATTTTTTTTAAAAAAATATTAAATTAAATATTTATTTTTAATTTTTTATATTATATTAAAAATTATTATATTCTAAGATATTATATCAATTTTTATTTATAAAAAAAAAAGACTAAAATCAAAACCTCTAAATAAACACATTTACTGGATCGATTAAGAAAGTTATTAGTAGTTTAAACTAATTTTTGTATTTTTTTATAAAGATATTATTAAGATTTTATAAAATAATAATAAGAGTTTTGAAGTAAAATGAATAGTGGCAATAATGTAAATAAATAATAATAATAATAATAATAATAATAATAATAATAATAATTACAAATTTTAGAGAATATCTGTTTTTTCTGTCACAAGCATGGTGCAACAACGAGAATTGAGGTCAATAGTATTAAATAGAATAATTTGGGAATTAAATAGTATGCTGTGAAAAAAATTTTATATTTATTTACGTGATGTGATGAAATAAAATATGTGATAAAAATTAAATATATCTAATTATTTCTTATTCTAGAAATAACTACAAAATATTTAAAACATACCAAAAATGCAATATTACAGAATACTTAAAACGAGGGGATATTTATTATTATTATTATTAAAGTGACAATGAGCAGGTTTTAATTTATTTAAATAAAAATTTGACTATTAAATATTTTCTTAGTTCACCTTGTACGTTTATTTCTAGCAAAAAAATTGGTAGTATTAATTTTTATAAAGATATTTATGTTTTAACTAAAAAATCAAATGATATAATCGTAAAATAAATATAAAAATATGAGCATTGTAATTGCTAGTAAAATCTATATTTAGTAAAGAAATAAATATATATTATTTTTTATTAGACAAGAAAATAAATATGTATATATAGTAAAAATGGATGGAAGAATATGATACCTCCTCCATCCTATATAATTTGTTCTTATTTTCTATTTTCGTCCGTCCCATATAATTTGTCCATTTCTTTTTTGGAAATATAATTATACACTTTAATCTCATTTTAAAATTTATAATTTATTTAATCTTAATTAAAATATTTAGTTATTTTAACCTTAATTCACAATTATTTTTATTATACAATAATTATTTTTACTAATACACTTCTTAATTACTTACTAATCACAGTTTACTTAAATTCTCGTATCTACAGTAATAGGCCCATAATACATGGGACGGAGAGAATATGTTTATTAAGGGTGTGTTTGTTTGGGGGTTAGTATTTTGAGTTGGAATTTGAATAGTAAAAATTTTGAATTTGAATAGTTGTATGATGTGATATAAATAGGTATGATGTAATGTTTTGAATGTAAAATTGATTTTTAGTATAATATAAAAATGAAAAATAGGTGTTTGATTTGATGTTTTTTTGAGAGAAAAAATTGGATGAATAATATAAATCCGATCGAATAATTATATTTTTTTGAAATTCACAGTTAACCTTCACACCATTGTCAGTGAGAAAAGTCATTTTCGTAGATATTTGACCGTGTGATTTTACATTTACTAGTCAAATAATAGTTTGAAAAAAATTTAGTTTGAATTTTGTATTAAAATAATGTACGATAAGATATTTTGTGAGAAAAAAAATGTATATATTTTTTTAAAATATAGAGTCCAAATAATAGAAATATCGTATTTTTTTTTCAAAAGAAACATATGAATTTCTAGGACAAATTTATTTTATTATTATAAAGTTTTATTGATTAAAAAATGAATATTAGAATTCAAAAGCAAGAAAAAGGACAAAGAATTTTGGGTGCGGTTTATTTGACTTCAAAATTAAAATTAATATTATTTGACTTGTACAGTTGTAAAATTATTATTATAACCAAACACATAATACACCATAAGACTATTTTAAATATTTTAAGAATAGTAAATTAAAAATTAAAAATAGAGTATTTAATATAATCTTTTGAAAAAAAATATATAATTTATATTTAATATTTTTAATACATATATATTTTTAAAAAATATTATAATATATATGGTTGTTTGATTTTGATTTTAATATTATTTTAATATGATTTCCTTTTTTTTTTTTAAATAACTTCAACAATATGAATTGAATAACATTATTTTGAATTAGGTAACATTTTTTTTTTTGGAAAAAACAAAATATATTATTATTATTATTATTATTTTCAGATAATATCTTATCTAACTCTTATTTAAACGTAAAAAAATACAAACATAAATAAAAAGCCATATAAACACTTTTAAATAAATATATTTAAACATTAAATATAATATTTAAATAATATTTTAAATATAATATATTAAGCTTACATATTTTCATTATTTTTATAAAATTTGACGGATGATTAGGGTTATTTGAAAAATTAAATGACTTTTTGGTCAACAAAATGAATATTGGAATTTAAAAGAAAGAGAAACCGACTAAGAATCAATATAGAAACTTCTGTTTTTGTTTACGTGTATATTTTTAAATAATTTAATACGATTTATTATTAATATATATATATATATTTAAAAAAATATCCTATCAAATATATATCTAATGATAAAATATCATATTAAATACTTATTAATTTTAAAATTCCACAAAAATTCTAAAATTTTTAAAATAAATAATTCATTCAGTTGTATTTGATTTTGGTCCCAAACTAAAACGAGTAATTAACGTTATTCAGCTCACATGTTTTTTAATAAAAATATACTCTCTGTTTTAATACAATAGTCCTGTTTGTCATTTTTATCAGTTTCAAAGCAATAGTCTTATTTCTGTAAATAATCACATTATTATAAAACTACATTTACTTTTTTATTATTATTACACAATCGCCACTATTTTTTACAATAATACATTCACAAGGGCAAAAAAATCTTTTACCCGTACTATTTACCCGGGATGGAAGGAATATTATTTTTTTATTACAAAATATATCATCATATCAAAATATCATTTAAATAAAAAATTAAATAAATCCATATTTAATGAATTTAAGTCAATTCCTTTTGAAACTTTCAGCAATGAAACTTCTATTTGAATTTAATACCAATAATTTTCCAATAATTATTATTATTATTATTATTATTATTATTATTATTATTATATACTTCACAATTTCTAATACATACCATTTTTTTTTTAATTTCTACAAAAGAAGGGATTGCTTTGTTTTGATTTAAAAATTGATTTAAATTTGTGATTAAATAGTATTTTGATATGATATTTTATAAGAAAAAATAATTTATTTTTATTAAAAATTGTACAAAATAATTATTTGTGTTTGAAATTATATTAAACAAATCTATATTTTTATTGAAACATATACAAATTAAATATAATTGTATTTTTTATTTGAAAAATAAAAACACACTGTAAACCTAACAATTACTTCATTTTTAAAACAACAAAATTTATTTTTTAACTCTATTTTAAGTTTTTACCATTTAATTATCATGTTTCATAATAAAATAATATATATTTTATATATTATCAAATTAAAATACTACTTAGATCAAAATCTAACTTATACACAAGTACAAAGAGAATAATAGTAATAAAGAAAGAACAAAAGATACAAATCCAAAATATTTTAACTTGAATTCAAAATATAGATAATCAAATTAAAAATAAAAAATTGTTAGTTGACTTCACTTCAATTCATAGACTTTAAATAATATAATTTTTTTTATTAAAATGATTTCTTGATATGATATAATAAATATAATATAAAAAATAAATAAATAATTTAATATTTAATATTTTTTTATAGAAATAATAAAAATTCTCAAAAAGATCTCCAAACAAACTCAACCTAAAACATTTAAATTTCATCCTCAACCCTAATATAGCACTTAATGAGTAATAATTGCTTTTAGACTTTATAAACTACAAATTTAAAAATGTTATAAATATTTTAATAAAATATTAAAAGAGCATAATAGAGAATTGAATAAAAAAAAGTGTTTAATAAAATTCTTCCCCTTCAAATTCTCCTAAATTGAAAGGAAATAAAAATTAAAAAAAAAATTAATTCTACTCCTCCTAACACAAAATTTTTTAAAATTCTATTATTTTTCCTCTCCTCTCCTCCTAAACTCTTGAACCAAACAGATACTAAATTTTAAATGAGACTATATATATAACTAAAAAAAAATATATATTTAATTTAAAAACAAATTAAATATTTTTAAAAACTAAAAAGCATATTCACTTTGGTGCTTTGCTCTTCATTTTAATTTTTTTTATTTAAATAATACCATTTTCATCCGGTTCTAAAAATTCTATATTAATTACTCCTTTCGTCCCACATAATTTGTCCCTATTTTCTATTTTCGTCAGTTCCACATAACTTGTAATTTCTATTTTTGGAAATATAATTATGTACTTTAATCGTATTTTAAATTTTAAATTTTATAATTTTTTTAAATTTTAATTAAACTATTTACTTATCTTAATCTTAATCTATAATTATTTATACTAAATAATAATTATTTTTACTAATACACTTGTTAATTATTTACTAATTATATTTTACCTAAATTCTCGTGTCTACGGTAATACACCCATATTACGTGGGACGGAGGGAATATTATATATAAAATGGTAATAAAAAAAATAAAAAATACTTCCAATTAGTGTAGAAGGACAAAAATATAAAGGACAATAATTTTGACAGCATATGATTGCAAAAAGTATTGAAACGGTAAACAAAGCTACCCTTGCATATGAGTTGCGTGATATTCGTTCAAAATAGGATTTATATGTTTAATTAAAAAAAAAATAACGAAAATAACTATAGACTGTTTTTATTTCTTGCATAAACTCAATTGCTTTTGCATATATTTTGTGTAAAATAAATACTAATAAATAAAAAAATATTTATTATTTATTATTTATTATTTATTTACTTATGTTTTTTAAAGATATCAATAGGTTAGAATCACACACCCTACCATCAACCAAACTCTTCCTTGATGTACGTTGGTTCAAACGGGGGCACTGCAATCGAATCAAAATCGCGAAGTCCCTGTCGATGCACAGTAACAGCGTCGGGTCGGGGGGGTTTTAGCAAGGTTTTTCCATTTTCATCCACCCAACATAAGGGATTTTCTCTGCTCTTTTTCATTCGCCAACAGAAATGGGGTCTCTGCGAAATGATGACCACGGATTGCCGGAGAAGGAGACCTCAGAAAACGGAGAGGAAGAGCCGATTCTCATGGATAAACCCCAGAAATTCACAATGTTCCCAATCGAGTATCCCCAGCTTTGGGAAATGTACAAGAAGGCAGAGGCCAGTTTTTGGACTGGTAATTCTATAATTTCTTGGGGGTTTCGTTTAAATTTGGGCCTTCGAATTGTGTTTTTGTGTGTATTGGATTCGATTTTTTTTGTGGAATGATTGCATGATTGAGGGGAATATGTTTTCGAAATTTTGTGCTTGAATTTGGAGTGGATTTGTTTTGTGTTCTGTGTGTATTATGGAAGGGATTTTTTTAGGTAGTCTGGTTTTGTTTTATTTTATTTTAAAGTCTACTTTCGGTTCTTGAAATTGGATTTTTATGGTTCTTTGGGATATGGTGTTTTTTTGTGGCGTTATGGTTGTTCATAATGTTGCAATTTGGTTTGATGGAATTCGAGTATTTAAGTATGGAAACGATTGTTTTTGGGGTTGTAGTTTTGGTTCTTGAAATTGGATTTTTGTAGTTTTATAGGATATGGTGTTTTTGTGGCGTTATGCTTGTTCATAATGATGGAATTTAGTATGACGAAATTCGATTTTTTAGTATGGAAAAGTGATGGTTTTAGGTAGTGTAGTTTGGGTTCTTGAAATTGGATTTTTATTGTTCTTTGGGATATGGTGTTTTTGCGGCCTCATGCTTGTTCATAATGTTGCAATTTAGTTACCGAATTTGATTATTTTAGTGTGAGTGATGGTTTTAGGTAGTAGTTTCGGTTCTTGAAATTGGTTTTTTTATGGTTCTTTGGGATATGGTGTTTTTGTGGTGTTATGCTTGTTCATAATGATGGAATTTAGTTTGAAATTCGATTTTTTTAGTATGGAAGTGATGGTTTTAGGTAGCGTAGTTTCGGTTCTTGAAATTGGAATTTTTATGGTTCTTTGGGATATGGTGTTTGTGTGGCGCATAAGCTTGTTCATAATGATGGAATTTAGCTTGATGACATTTGATTATTTTAGTGTGGAAGTGATGGTTTTAGGTAGCGTTGTTTCGGTCTTTAAAATTGGATTTTTATGGTTCTTTGGGATATAGTGTTTTCGTGGCCTGATGCTTTTTGGTAATGTTTCAATTTTGTTTGACGGAATTCGATTATCTTAGCATGGAAGTGATGGTTTTAGGTTCTTGAAATTGGAATTTTATAGTTTTTTGGGATATGGTGTTTTTTTCTTTTTTTCACCTTATGCTTATTAGTAATGTTTCAATTCAGTTTGACAGAATTCGATTATTTTAGCATGGAAGTGATGGTTTTTGGCAGTGTAGATTCACTTCTTGAAATTAAATTTCTATGGATTTTTTGGGATATGGTGTTTTTGTGGCATTATGCTTATTCATAATGATGCAATTAAGTTTGATGGAATTCGATAATCTTAGTATGATAATGATTGTTTTACACAGTGTAATTTCGGCTCTTGAAATTGGGTTGTGGTTTGTCAGAAAATAGTGTTTTTGTGTGGCCTTATTTTTATTAATAATAGTACAATTTAGCTCGACAAGCAATATAAATATTGGGATATCCTTGTATGTAGTATTACGGTTATATGGGTATGGAATTGATTGTTTTAAGTAGTTTTGTTTCACTTCTTGAAATTTGGTTGTGGCACCTCGGAATATGGTGTTTATGTCGATGCTTAATAAGGAGATTGGGATATACTTACTTGTAATGTTATGATCAAATAATATCGATATATATATATATATATCTCCGTGCTTAATATGAAATGTTAAACGAACTGAAGAAAACCACTAAATAATGTTATTTGTCCTTTTCTTTTCTTATTGCATAATGTGTCTTATTTATTTATTTTTTGTTTCTTGATTCGGAGCAATTTGGTGTTCTTTGATAGAATCATAGAATGTGACCGGAAACTCGAACTATTGGTTCTCACCCTGTTTAGTCGATTGCTGTAACGCTGCCCTTCTTCCATGATGTATTTTATGTCCGTGGATGCTTTTGTGCAGCCGAAGAGGTTGATCTATCACAAGACGTACAGCAGTGGGAAGCTTTGACGCCATCGGAGAAGCACTTCATAAGTCATGTTCTGGCGTTCTTTGCAGCATCGGATGGGATTGTATTGGAAAACTTGGCTGCTAGATTTCTCAACGATGTGAAAATTCCTGAGGTAAATAGGTTATGGAGAAATCGGCATTAAATGAGCTATGGAAAATAGGTTAGTTTATAATCTTTGATGCGCACTTTTATTGAATTAAGAAGTGACGGTGCTCGGATGTTTATGTGAGGTTGTTTTTTCCTATAATCTTGGCACGACAAATGTTTCTGATCCCGACGTTAGGATGTTAAAGTGGTTTGCAAGTGATGATAACTCTTCATCTGTTATCTGGAGACTTGTGTGTTTGATTTTGATTTAAAATTGACCTTTTGATTTGAGTTTTGGTTTAAATTGTATTTTGATTTGATGTTTTCTGAGAAAAGATAATGTATTTTTATTGAGAATCGTAAGGGAAGAATAATATTGATTTGTATTGGGAATATATAAATATTGGTATTGATTTGAGATCCATAGCGTGTACGAATTTTTAATCCTTTTTATTTTGTCCTAAAGAGAAGGTTTATTTTGTCGGGATGTTACATAAAATTTAATTGTTGTCGTAAGAACATTGGATCAAACCTAATGAAAAGTCCTTATAATTAACCTTCTTGTTACTGACAGGCTCGGGCATTTTATGGATTTCAAATTGCTATCGAAAATATACATTCAGGTACAGATCTTTGAATTTGTGGCAGTCTATAAAATTGTATACTCTAGAAATCTAATTTTTATTTTGAAATTTCTTACAGAAATGTATAGCTTGCTCTTGGAAACGTATATCAAGGACTCGAAGGAGAAGAACAGCTTGTTTAATGCTATCGAAAACATTTCGTGCATTGCTCGGAAAGCCAAGTGGGCTCTGAATTGGATTACGAGGTGTTCATTTAATGCTTTTCTACGCTGTTGTGCTGTCGTATTTTTTGAATCGTGTTTCTAATTTTGTTGTGATATTTCTCGGAAGTTTATGAGAAATCTTAATTTGTCACATGTTCAAAGCTCAGTTTCGAGACTAAGGTTATAAAATACCGTTAGTTTGTGTGGCCCAAAAATGTCGTGTTCATGTTTAATCCCATCAAAAATGTCAATCACTATTTTAGTCTTATTAGTAATGTCATTTGAAGTTGTCACAATTAATATTGATTAGAAAAATGTTGCACTAGATACTCACGGCGATTGAACTGATTGTATCTTGCACAGATTTTTCTATCGATCGTAAACTTCGAAATCGATGAGCTTTAGGTGACTAAAAATTGATCAATTATCGCAACAAACTTAAAAATGCGGTTAAAATTACGTCTGCCAGACAATACAATTAAAATTGCAATTGATTTTTGTATTGGCTCTATCATCTTCTTGTCAATTTCTGCGACGGTTTTGTTGAGATTGTGTTGGAATATAATGCATAAGAAAACTTTTATCAATGTGCAGTTCGAGCTCATTTGCGGAGAGGCTCGTTGCTTTTGCTTGCGTCGAAGGAATTTTCTTCTCCGGGAGGTATTCTATTCAGAAAATATCTTCTTTTTTTTTTGTTTTTGGATTGATTTCATTTTCACGATGCGATTTTCTTCTGTTCTCAGCTTCTGTGCTATTTTTTGGCTTAAGAAAAGGGGATTGATGCCAGGCTTGACATTCTCCAACGAACTTATTTCGAGAGACGAAGGTCTCCACTGTGATTTTGCTTGTCTTCTGTACAGGTAAGTAATCCGTTCTCGCTTCAGTGTTTGCATTCGATCGGGGTGGAGTTAGTTGACTTCTATTTGCTTCAATTATATACATACATATATATATATATATATTTGCAGTTTACTTAGGAAGAAACTCGATAGGGAGAGAGTTTATCTTATCATTGAAGAAGCTGTAGAGATTGAGATCGAATTTGTTTGCGATGCTTTGCCTTGTGCGCTCATTGGTATGAATTCGACTTTAATGAGCCAGTATATAAAGTTCGTTGCTGATCGACTTTTGGTACATGCCATTTCTCTCTTTCTCTCTCTCTATACATATATATATATGTATGTATGAAATATTTATGAGATACGAGTCAGTTTCTTTAACTAATTTTTTTCAGATTTTATGATTTGGACTCTGCTATTCTCGAAAAAAATACATAAAATATCCCATCAAATATTATTTTAATACCAAGCTCAAACTAATTTTTCCCAAATTCAACAAAAAGAAATTCTCTTTTTAGATTTTCGCAATAAATATATATATATATATCTTCACCTATAGTCACTTAAAGTTTTGAATTTCACAAAGGTAAACTGTATTTTACGTGATCTGTCTTTTTTATCGCCATCACACCTATGCATACATATTTTTTGCGCGGGAAACATTCACATATTTTCAATTTTGCTTCTCAGGCAACTTTGGAGTACCCGAAGAAATATGGTGCGGAAAATCCTTTCGAGTGGATGGAGTTCATATCTCTACAGTAAGCGTTACATTCGCGCGAGATTAATATAGCATTTGAAAGCCATTTCTTGAGTCATAAAATTCACGTAGAAATTGAAATTGCTCGCTACATTTGCGCATATTCTTAGTATCAAACCTTTATTACCCCTTGTTATCAACGCCGTGTGATTTCTTTATTCCGTTTTATCGTTATTGATTGTTGCTTAACTTTGTACAGAGGAAAGTCTAACTTCTTCGAGAGAAGAGTCGGGGACTATCAAAAGGCGTCTGTGATGTCGAATTTGCTGAACGGTTCCCAGGATTACGAGTTCAAAATGGACGAGGACTTTTAGGCGTTACTTAGATTTCGTTATCGAAAGGTAGAATTATGATTCGGAAACTAAGGGCTTAGAATTTTTTTGAGCAAACACACGATTTGTAGAATATATATATCAGTGTCTTGCCACGGTGATTGCTCAATCGACCTCGTCTTGTAGAAGTTGCCGCTTGGGCGTACTTGGTTAAATCGCTATAGTATATGGAGGATTTTACGATTGCTCGAATTTTTTCTTCGCACATTTTTAGTTTTCTATGTATAGAGTATTGTAGCGTAGTTTTCTTATTACGTTCAAACTTAGCGCATCGACGCTGTAGAAAGTTCAGAGATCAAAATGGCTTAGGATAATCGAACTTTAAGAGAGTTGATTGTATATGATTTGGCACAAAAACGATTATGCATAAATTTTAGGGTGCGTTTCTTTAGGGAGTTTTGAAGAAATTTGGGTTTGAATTTGATTTTTATTTGAATTTTGAAGTGAGTTTGAACTTACGTGTTTTTTTTTTGTGTTTAGATTTGGGTTGGATTTGGAGAGTTTTGATGTGTATTGATTTGATTGTAATAAGTATAATAATATAAATGTGTATTAATTTGTAAAATTTGATTATAAATTTATATTATATCTATATATATATTTTTAAATTTTTATTTATTTGTATTATAAATTTTTTTATTATAATTTGACATATCAGTCATTTACCTACTCTTCCATGAAATTGTCCATTATGAGAAGATTGAAATGAAGATTGATTGATTTTTGCAATATGTACAATCTGGAGAATATTTGTGCCATGCCAATATGACCGATATTTATGTATACTCTCTCTCTCTCTCTATCAAATTTATTTTCATATTTTTTTTTCAATCTATTCGCTAAACTTATCCGATTACTAATTTTGACAAAATTAATAAATTAATATTTAACTATTGTCCTCTATTGAACACTTATTTACCACTAATGTCACTACATTTATTATATTATTTCTCATCATTTTTTTAATTTCTAACTATATTTTCAAAATTATCTCAAATTATCTTTTTACTTTTATCGTATTTTAAATAAAATATTTATTTTTGTTATTTTTGTTAATTTTCGTGCCGGATCCAAATATTCAAAAATTTTTGTGGACAGTATTTCAGGTAAGAAACCCCACAAACACTTGCAAGAATTGAACACCCTATATAACTAATGACCAAATCGAGCTAAATATTTTAATTTTCACTTAAAGATGCCGTAAAAGATTGACTTTACGATTATCTTGAGTATCTAGTCTCGGATTCTGCCATACCCAACTCATCAAATGCCATCTCTAATTCCAGCAATATGTTCCATAGTTCGAAGGAAATCAAGATGGAAGATTTCCACTTAGTCACATCATATTGAAGATAACACAAAAATCTTCCTACTTTTTATTATCCACATTGCATTATTACTACCTTTTTATCTTTTGCAACAATAGAGATGGTTCATTCATTACATTATTAAAACCTTTTATCTTCTTGTAACAAATAGAGATAGATGATAACGAATTAGGATGGGCCCGACACTGCCTGAACTCGACTCATTTAATTCGGATCGTATTTAATAATTTGAGTAGAGAGTATCATGTTGAATTCGACGTACATTTAAAAAATATATAATTATAATTTATGTTTTAGAATATAATAAAAGCTTATTATGATCTTAAGTAAATACATTTCGATCACTTAATAGCAATGTTTATAATTTGAAACAAACAAACAAAAAAAATAATGTACTATGAGGCTGAAATTGGAGTCAAGAAAGTATTCTACTTTCAGCTTCTTGACCGATCGAATTTTTGGGCTAACAGTGCCCAGATCGTTACCTTAGGACCGTTATAGTTATGGCCGCCAGTCTATGCAATTTATTGGGCCACACTGAGTTTTGACATACACTTTTATATATATTGATATACTCTCTCTCTAATTAACATTTGAAAATACTAGTGAAAATATCTTGCTTGCCGCCCCCAATGTAGTTTATTCTGATCAAATTGGGTTAACAAATCTTTGCATTCTTACGTGATTTCTTGATCGCTCTTGATTTTCTAACTCCCGCAATACAAACCCTATATTTTGTAGCAATCATGGGGTGTGTTGGTTTTCAGATTCATGTGTTTTTTTTATGTTAGGTATAAAAAATCATAATATTAATATAAAAAAAATAATATTTTGGGTTGATTTGTCAATTTTTTGTGAGTGAATAAAATATCTACTATATATTGTATGAATGTATATATATATATTATATTTTGGATAAACTGATCTGGACTATTTATCATTTTAGTCCGTAACCGGAGACTGTCTTAAAATAGTCACTAAGTGAAAATTTTTTGCATTTTAGTCATCAATGTCTATGTAGCATGCTGACGGACACATGTCGGCTAGGTCAACGCCATGTGGCTAACACGTGTTCGCCACGTGGATTGTTTTTATTTTTATTTTTTTTAATATAAAAAAATTACAAATATAAAAATAGAAATAAAATATAAAAATATAAAAATAAAATCTTAAAAATTAAAATTAAAAATAAATAAAATAAAAATAAAAATTATCCATATGTCCGTCAAGTCAGCGCCACATGACCTTTAATAATTTATTAGTATACTTTTTAATTATATTTTTTTTTATTTTTAAGATAAAAAATATAAATTATCCACGTAGCGACCACGTAGCGTTGACCTGACGGGCATGTGGATAACTTTAATTTTTATATTTTTATATTTTTTAATTTTAATTTTTTTTTTTTTATAAACCCTAAACCCTAAAATGATAAAGGGGTCAACGAGACTAAAAAATAGTTTATCTTTTTATTTTTTAGTAATATTCACCGAAAATCGTATCACCCAAAATAGGTTAGGTGAACAATCCCATGATTGTTGCATAGTAAAACTATTGAAATCAAACTTCAAAAGAACACAAGTGTTGTTAAACTTATTCGGATCGAATCACGGGTACATTGCCCACATTTGTTGTCGTAATGTTGTCCAAACATGGTCACCACAGTTGTTCTTGTCATTACAAAGAGAACCACACTTTAGGACATAAACAAAAGGGCCACACCTTGTCCCATCTTTGAATTTAAATTAGCTGTATACATTTAAAAAACACACAAATACAATCATCTTTGTGTTGATAAAGATCTTATCTTCGATTCCTTTTTTTTTTTTCTTTGCAATCTTTTTTTTTTTTAGGTTTAGGATAAGGCATCGAAACAAGAGATTTAAAATGAACAAATCCCTTATCTGCCACGCTTTTAAACGACATTTGGAACCCACATTTTGACCGCGTGAGTAGGGTAGTTGGGCGAGCACTTATTGTTATACTCCCTTAGTCATTTAAATTTATGCTCATTTTTCTTTGTTGGTTGTCATTAAAAAGTGTGTTTGTTTCATTTTTTTTTTTTAGTAAAAACTACTACTCTCTCTGTCCCATATACCTTGTAATATTTTTATTTTTGGCATGTCCCACATACTCTGCAATATTTCAAAAATAAGAAATAATTAATTATATACATAACACTTTATCATATCACATTACTCAACAAAAAAAAAAATACAATTTTTTTCTCTTATCACATTACTTAATTCCCAAATTATATTCTAAAAGGAAAATATTAATATTTTTACCTATTTTTTTAAAACTTGTGTCCGATCAAACGTGCATAATTTTAGATGACGGAGAGAGTAAATAGAAATGAAGATGTCTTGATGATATTATGGATGGGGCTGTTAATAAATTTTACCGGAGGTACTTTGACATTTGAACTTAATGTATCGTTACATGTATTGAATTATAATCAAATTGCTCTAGGATGGTTCCCTGCGTAAATAATTGACTATTACACAATTTGAATAATTTCTACAAATTCACCTCAAATAAAAATGCATATATAAAATTCTTGATTGAAAATTTATTTACAAATTCAAAATCATGTTCGTGTTGTGTCGACATGTGACTTGAATTTCTTTTGGTAAGTCATCTAAGTTACTTCAAAATAAATACGCAAACTATAAATCCCTACTAGATTTTTTAAAATATAATTATAACAAACCATTTTCCATTTTATTTACTATTTTTTCTTTTGGCATAATATTTTTTGATGATATATTTTTGATAGTTTTTTTTTTTCAAATGGTTTACCTTTTACTTTTTGTTTGAAATGATTTTTTAGTAGTAAATTAAGACAAATTGAAATTTTTTAAAAAAATATTTTAAATAAAAAATAATAGCGAAAGAATTTGAAATCGAAGAAATATTACACTCCAATATTAGTCCGACATGATGTGCTGATATGACAACAAAGTTGATCCCTTCGCATATCATATACACATGTGAGGCCACAATTCGACATATTGCTCTTTGTAAAGTTGAGATATATATATATTTTTTTATACAATAATTATGATTTTCTATAAAATTATATTATTTTTTTTTCGATAAATATTATTTTCATAGTATTATTCAAATAAAAAATATAACAAAATCACATTTCAAAAGAACACACTTAGGAAGTAAAAGGTGAATTCATTTAAGATTTAGATTTTTTTTACTATTTGAATTCCATGTTATCTCAAAAACAATAATATAAATATATTACAAAATATTAAATTAAATATTATTTAAATAAAAGATCAATCCGATCAAATCTCAAATGAACACGTTTGTTTCTCTAGAAAGTTCAACTATCAAGATAAACATATATTATAGGTAAGAAGAAGACAAAGAAACGATAATGTAAGAGGTAGGGCTGGAATAATCTTGTATATATAATTCTTAAGATCGATCATATCACACGCACGGCTGGAAAGAATAAACACGAATTAATATAATCGCAATAAAAAAGATTGGATCGAAGCTAAGGAACATGTGTGCATGCTTCCTTGGATCTTCAATTATTACATATACTTAGATATTTATTCGCAAAAATTTCTAAGATATATAAATACATCTTCATCTTCGAGTAACGGTGTACAAAATAGATACATTTCAAATACAAAATAGGTGAATATATATACAATACATGTACTATATTAAAAAATAAATATTTAATTCGATGTTTTTAGGAAACTTTGTTTTAAAGATTTTCTGGAATTTTTACTATTTACAAAATTTTTTCTTCAAGAAAGCATCAAAGTAAATACTTAATTATATTTTATGTTTTTTATTACACTATTAATCAATTTTATATTCAAAATATTACACTAACTTCTATTTATATCATATCAAATAACTATTTAAAATCCAAACTCCAAACAAACACATGTCATAATAGTACCCGATATTTTACATGCATGCCCAATAAATTTTTGTACTTAAAAAGATTGTGTCGGATTTGAATAAAAAAAAATATATATGTTGAAA